ACTGTACTTCTGTATTAGTGCTCACAAATCTTTGTAAACCCAGGACCCAGGCTGGGCACAATGTTTCTCAAGAGTGCATTTATTTATTTAGAGCCCACTACTGAGGCATCCATTCAAATTGTTGCATTGCAAATAATCCTTATTAGCCTTAGTGTGTTTGATTATAGAATAATGAAAATCAAAGGGGAAATTTTGAAGGCTATTTTGAGGGCATTGCAATGTTTGCTAAATGTCTTTTAAATTACAACAGCAACATTTATGTGTTTAATTTTTACTAAAATTTTAATTCAGACCCAAGATACCTAAGCAAGGATTTCATTACACAGGGTATTTTCATACATCTTCCAAACCGAAGTACTAGACATCGAGTCTGCAGAGTGTTGTCATAGCTGGATGTATTTCACTTTATTTTACTTACAGCTGCTTTAGGAAGGAGATGTTTTGTTCATTAGCTTATTCATGCATTGCCATTCTTCTGTTATCACTGTAATATGGTTTCATCTTAAGGATAATTATGAAGTTAATGTAAGCACTGCTGAAAGAGACACACTATTTATAGTGATTAAATCACTGTGGAAAAAAAAAAAAAATCAGAACGTCTCTTGAGCCCTCTAGTGTTTGAAATTAAGTCTCAACGGACTTGGGAAGGTTCCTGCTTGTCAAAACTGATATCCTTGATATTTTTACATATCTCAAATAGCATTGATAACTCCTCCTGTCACTCCACTGAATTACTAATGTACACTAGTACTAATGTGCTAGTGCATTATTACTTGCAATACAACTGATATTGAGCACCTTTGACAGCTGACAAATGAAGAATAATACAGAGTATTCCCCTCTAAAATCATGTTTTTCTCCAGTCATATTGTTAGTGCCATTGTATTTTGGCACCAGAGTGAATTATTCTTCATCCATTTAAAAAAAAAAGTAAATTCTGCTAGAAAACTTCAGGAAATAATTTTTCAATTAATTTCACTAAATTACAAAGGTAAAATAAAAAGGAATGAATCACAGCAACAATCAGAGTAACAAAATTAATTTAAACTTGCCTTTCAATAACAAGAATTTTAACTCTTGTTGAATTTGCTGATCTGAATATTTGTGGAATTTTATCTGATGCCTCAAGTAAGACAAAAGTAGCCACACAGTGCAGTATGAGACTTACCCACCTCAACAGAATCCTGGGTTTTGCCTTTTAAGCCCTCACTGACCAAGGAACAAAGCCTAAGTTCTTAAACATCATTCAACTTAGATGCATTCAATAGCCCAGTTTGCACTGGAAAATTATGTCTGTTGAAGTACTTCAAAACAGGATATACCAAAATAAGGCTCTTGAAACATATATTTTTTATTATACATTATACATTTATATTAAAATATGCGTTTATACTGTATACAGATTAGTTAGCAATATATATCTTTTTCTATTCCATACACAGTATGCTTTTAATATAATGTATTTAACAATTATATAGCACTGACATTACTTCCAATATATACTAGGTTGCAGTGTAAGCTGCACAATTATCATAAAAGTTTAAAATAGAAAAATTTAAAAAAAAAAGCATTTTTAAAGCATTTATTTTCTGTTTACCATTCTTCACCAATATCAGTGACACATGCTGTGGGCATATCAAATGCATACAAACCTTTCAGGAATCCACTGTTTCTACATCACATTTAAAAGTCCTGAAAATTGTGAAGCAACTCAGCCAGTATTGAAAAACTTGGATCTGTTCTTTCATGTTTTCACATTAAAGGCTGTCCAGAGCAGACCAAACCTAGGCAGCTGACAAGACAAAACAGATATACAACCTAAAGCATAGTGCTACACTCCTCTGGATTTTTTAAATTAACCCATCTCTGTTTTGCTTCCTGAATCTCATATTGTAACTGACAATAACTACAATGATGCCTTCTCAAAACATAAAAACGCATCAGCTGCCAGCTCACTGCTTATAAACTCATTTAAGACAACTTATAAAGACATAACCTTTAAGCGTGTGTGCAAACAATATGCAATCAAATACGCAACACAAATATCTATAAAGTTAGATGAAGTATTAGGATTACTGCAGCTTTCTCTGACTGAAGCAAAGCATATGGTGGTATAATGGAGCATGAATTTACAGCAGCAGAGATCTACGATATAGATTAAAGCTTCATCTGTGAGAACATGCTGCACAGAAGAAAAACCCAGCCTTTTTGGGGGGTGGGTGGGTTTATGCATGATGAACGGCAAACACTCTTCTGTAGAACTAGGACTCCCTCTGCTGCTAACATGGAAGTAAAACCCAAACCCTTCCTTGAAACCCACTACAAACGTGCTCCCCGATTTTGAGTTTATCGAGGTATAAACATGCTTCCCCTGCTATCTGGATGGATGGAAGGTTTGCAGGTAGGGCTGACAGGCTCCTGTCATCCATATGGAGCATGGAAAGCTCCAAAGAAAATGAACTCTACTCAACTAATTCTGTCTGCATTCACTGCGGTTCTGAATGGAACAAGCACTTGATAGCTTTTCTTACTTTTTAAAACCAGAAAATCACAGATATATGACCAAGTATATCTTTACATCTTTATAGAAACCTCCATTTTTAGGAAATTGTGGCTTATTTATCCTGTTAGAAGAGTTTTTGATGGTTTAGGGGTTTGGGTTTTTTTGTTTTTTGGTAGGTTCTTAAGTTAAACTAGATCTCGAAGTACAAGTGAAAAACATACAGTCTTTAGCAAGAATACATGATTGACTGTCCTAGGTTCAGCAGTAGCAGTCATTTTTCTCCTTCTTAGTATCTGTACCACTGGTGCAGTGCTGTGGTTTTGACTTTCAGCCTGGGAACAACACTGATAACATCGATGGTTTTAGTTGTTGCTAAGTAATGTTTACTCTGACCAAGTTACCCAGAAGGGCTAGACTGCTGCCCAGGTCAGGCTGGGGATCAGTCAGCGGGTGGTGAGCGGTTGTATTCTCTTCTCTTGTTATTTCCCTTGTCATTATTATTATTGGTGGCAGCAGTAGTGCTTTGTGTTATACCTTAGTTACTGGACTGTTCTTATCTCAACCCGTGGGAGTTACATTCTTTCGATTCTCTACCCCATACCTCCGGGAGCAGGGGGAGGAAGAGAGGGGAGTGAGCAAGCGGCTGCGTGGTTCTGAGTTACCGGCTGGGCTTAAACCATGACAGTTCTTTGTGGCGCCCAACGTGGGGCACGAAGGGTTGAGACAATGACAGATCTGACCAGAGGGTGTCAAATGTATTTGCGATAAGCATTCATTGTTTTGTATTAACAGTCACTCGTCACAATGCTGATTTATTGGCACTCAGAGTTGTTGCTCTTGATCTCACAGTTCCAGCATGTTGTACCTTACTTACAGCTGGTATTTGCTGTTTTAGTGTTTATTGGCTGGGGGCTTGGGCTAAGGTTCTTGTTTCACTGTACTTTATGGTAATGACTTGTAATACAATAGACTCATTGATCATGAAACTGATCTGACTTGCGTTCCTAATGTGGTCATCACCTCTATACTTGGGGAGTTATATAATGGAAGTGTTTAGCAATTACACATGTTTTTTTCCCTTCTCGGGTGGTCAGCCTATGAAGGAGACATTTCCTTACACCCCCCAGCCCTGCCCCCCCCCCCCCCCCCCCACCCCCCGAATATTTACCATGGGAATAAAGGAGGACCACCAAGAGATTTTCCCAGAGGCTGGACAGTCATGAGTGGCAGGGTGTGTGAGACAGTATGGGCAAGCATCTATGCCTGTGGGCCCCTCCAGTGCTTTGGAAGCATTACAGGTGAAAGACAGCTGCATGGAGTCCCCAGTGACAAGCTGCAGAAACTGCTGAAGGAGAGGGTGAATCGAGTCAGTTTGCCGAGGTGAAAGCCATCCAGCTGGCCTTGGACACTGCTGAAGGAGAAAAGTGGCCAGTACTTTGTGTCTGTACTGATTCATGGATGGTGGCAAACGCCCTGTGGGAGTGGTTGCAGCAATGGAAGCAGAGCGACTGGCAATGCAGAGGTAAACCCATCTGGGCTGCTGCACTGTGGCAGTTACATTCTTTTAGTTCTCCTCCCCATTCCTTAGGGAGTGGGGAGAAAAAAAAAGGGGGGGAGTGAGTGAGTGGCTGTGTGGTTCTGAGCTACCGGCTGGGCTTAAAGCACGACACTGACCAACATTAAAAGCTGATATTTGAGATGTAAAGTTGCTCATGTAACATGATGACCAAAGGTATGAAATGAGTGTATTGGCAACAGTTTGTTTGAATTGACATTAGAGTGACTTCCCTGTGAGGGTGCTGAGACACTGGCACTGGTTGCCCAGAGAAGCTGTGGCTGCCCCATCCCTGCCAATGTTCAAGGCCGGGCTGGACGGGGCTTGGAGCAAGCTGCTCTAGTGGCAGGTGTCCTGCCCATGGCAGAGAGTTGGAACTGGATGAGCTTTAAGGTCCCTTCCAACCCAACCCCGTCTGGGATTCTGTGACTTTGTGCCAATCCATTCAAGGCCAGTACCTGTTGGTACGTGGTGTCAGGGTCGGGGCCAGACCTGGCAGCCGAGGGCAGGAAGCCACATCATTTCACACTTCTTTTAGTCCCAGTTGCCAACGTGCATTGCGCTGGGAAGCAGTGGTCACGGTACAATGAGTTATTTCTTGAGGAGTCACAGCTCTGCAGAGCAAAGGGAACGTTAGTCAGTGTTGTACTGCCGGGAAGGCTGACACCCTGCGTGTGTCCCTTCTTGTTCGGGGTGTTTCTGGGGGAACCAGAGAACTTACAGGACACACGCAGGCCAAGCGCTGCCCGCTGAAGGTCGGGGGCTATGATAATCGCTGCAAGCTGCAGCAGTACAGACCATTAACGGACCCACACCGGCGCCACGACACCGGGCTGCCCTCGGCGCCGCCAAGAGGAAAATCCCTGCGCCTCGCCCAGCCCCTCGCCAGCGCTCTCGACGGTTGATTTGTAGCGCCTGACGCGGCGCCGGCGCGGTCTGTGAGCCATGGCGGACGAGGAGCTGGAGGCGCTGCGGCAGCAGCGGCTGGCCGAGCTGCAGGCCAAACACGGGGTAAGGACGAGGCGCCCGCTCGGCTGCTGCCCTGGCAGTGCCCCCTGCGCCCTGCCGCCGAGCCGGGGCAAACGGGAGCTCTGCGGGCGCGGCACGGCCTGGTCGTCACTCCCGAGCCTTCTCCGGGCGTGTGGGAGGGGAGGCGGGCGGGACAGGGCCTCGCCGCGAGTAAAGGCTTCGGCAAGAGACCGGGGAGCAGCGGGGAGCGGCCCGGCCGTGCCCGATGCTTTGGCTGGGGACGTCCCGAGTGAGCCGGCCCCGGGCCCGCACCCGGTGCGCGGGCTGCCGCCGTGCGGTGCTCGGCCCATGAGCGTTCCCTCCGCCGACCGATCCGCACGGCGCTCGCTCTGAGTCACCATCGCCGGGCATTCCAGTCTGTTTTTAGAGCTAAAATGTCAGCTATGATCAGTCCCGTTTCTTCTCACTGTTGGTTTCCTGTTGAGCTGCCACACTTTGTAGTGGTACTTACGAAATTTGAGGTGCAGATTCAACACAGAGTTCATCTTTTTTACTTTTTTATTTTATTTGCTTCTGAATAGCCATCTCGGCTGCATTAGTCCCAAACTACCATGCTAGGATTGTGCTTTCTTCTTCATTGATAAATACAAAGCATTACGTTGAATTTAATTTCTCCTCAGCTTGCTTTAATGGAGTTTAAATGCCTTTGTCTGCTTTCGGGGCTTTGGGAAAGTTTATTACCTTCAGCCCAACAGGAAGGCCTTTTAATAATGTCCGAACCGACAGCAGTTTGTGGATGGATCCAGCAGCACAAGTCATCATGCAAGTTTGCATTGCTGTTGTGTGAGGAAACCATGGGGTGGCACATTTATTTGCCAGGGCAGCAGATTCTTACTATCAGGATGTCATCCGTGGTCAGGCGGGTTTAGTTTACATTGACTTTGCTGGAATATTGAATGGTTTGGATGGGTTGATGGTCATACTTATTGTGATCTCATTCTTCAGGATCCTTCTGGTGATTCATCGCAGCAGGAAGCAAAACAGAGGTATAAATGAGAACTATTGACTTTTGGTCTCACACTGAGTTGTTTTGGAACCTTTTGCATTTATATTTTTTTTTAAATATTTTCACTTCTTTGAAATACCTGATTTTGGTTTTTTGTGGTTGGAAAAGTCACCAAAAAAGAATAGCTTAAATGTCAGAAGATTTAATCCAGGGATAGCTAAAATCTGATCAATGCAAGTGTGGCCCCCAGGCCATGACTATACAGGATGATCTAGCACAGAGCTTCAGGGCAGTCTGAACCTTCACTGGGGTGGGAGCAAAGGGAGGAAAACAGCACCAGCAGCTCGGTTTCACTTTGGACCTCAGCTGAATGCAGTAACCTTTTAAGTGCTTTGAGCACCCTGGTCTATTGGAACGTGTCCCTGCCCATGACAGAGGGTTGAAACTTGATGAGGTTTAAGCTTTCTTTCAACCCAAACCAGTCTGTGGTTCTATGAACCTCATGATCCCTAGTGATATAACAGGATGTTTGGGGGAAGCATTATCACTCCCACAGTCATCTGCTTCTGGAACTGGGAAACCTTGGCTTTTCAGGCTTGGTAAGACCTGGTCGTAAAAAAACCCTTGAAGACTTGCGGAGCTCTTCCCAAACTGGTGTTTGTCTGAGTGATGAGTTTGGGTTTGGCTCTGTTAGTGCAGTGGGGACATGCTTTCCTAGTTGATTCGATTTTCTGGGACATCTGTTGCAGTTAAAAATGTGAAACAAAAAGCTTTGTGTCAGAACTTAGTGCAGAAGCACTGCAGAAGCTGCAGTAAGTGGAGAATTGAAGATACGTGTTTAAAGAGCTCGACTTTGCACACACTCAAAGTTTATAGCAACCGAAATGTATAAACTAAAATTCCAGTTTTGCAAATATTTAGTAACTGTAAGCATATGAAGACTTATTAACAAGTTCTACATAAATAAGGAGGTTTGGTTCTGTCTTGCAGTTGCATGGACTGTTCCTTAACACTTGCTGTACCGTGCGCTCCCTTTGAATTCCACATGGAATTCAGATTTCTAAATACAGAGTATTTACAAGTGGGTAGCATGGCTTTTGTCTCTGAGATGTAATAACAAACAGGAGGAAGGTGTGAGTAGTAATAAATCCACATTGATTTCTTGGAAGGTGTGGTCAGCTGTTTAACTTGTCAACATACATAGAGCTACTCACAACCGAAAATGCTACAAAAGGAATTGGGTTGATGTGGGGTTTGAAGGGACCTCAAGAAGTCACTGACAAGAATTGAATGTCTTCTGTAGTTAGCTGGTTTGTGTACATTATTTTAGGTGTTTCAAATCGCACTTCTAATGTGTGGTTGATTTTTCATTACAGGGAAGCAGAGATAAGAAATACTATTTTAGCTCAAGTTCTTGATCAAGCAGCTCGTGCAAGATGTAAGTATCCAAGTAACTTTCTAATTAAAAATTCCCACCTAGTGTGCTCCAGTGCAGCTCAGATCAAGCATGTATGTGCTTCTGTAGAGGCCAGAGCAGAAAAACACTGGTGCTGATGAGAAGGTAAAACCATTACAGCTTTTCAGTTTGATGGCAACAATTGGAGGGGTAGGGTTAACTGACATCGAAATGATGTTTTTTTTTTAATTAATAGTAGGAATTATAGTAAGAATCAAAATTAGATTAATTAGGATCAAATATTTAAAAGTAAGAAATAAAACTCTTGTATCTTTCTATGTTTTACATAAATGAAAATGCCTTTCTGAATTTATTTTATTATGCTGGCATGAAGAAGACAGTTGCATAGGGATATTTGTCACTTTTTAGTTCCTAGTGAAGGTATTTGAGTATGATTTAAAACAAATGGAACCTGTTTCTCTTGCAGTAAGTAATCTAGCACTTGTGAAACCAGACAAAGCAAAAGCAGTGGAGAATTACCTTATACAGATGGCACGATTTGGACAATTACCTGGAAAGGTGAGTTATATTTTTCTAATTCTTTCTTGCATGTATCTGTTAGCAAACCCAATTCACTCAAAAAAAAAAAAAGGGGGGGGGGGGGGGAAGGGAGGTGGTTTTAGTATCTGTAAATTAAATAACTGAAAAAGACAACTGAGAGCTTCTAAGTAGTGTTATATAATTCCTTTTATAAGAAAGTGTAACAGGTGGGAGCCTAGCTAGGATCTAATTCCCTCTCATGACTGAGCATCATAACAAAGTATGTTTTTGTCAAAGTGTATTCAGTAGAGTGTACATGTTTATGTTCATCGTGACTGTTTGTCAGAGAGAGGCAGGAAAACATAGGTGTGCAGCTGTTCTGTGACCTTCATGGTTGGCTGCAATGGGGCACCTGGCCAACACTCTGAGCATAGACAACAGTGAGATCATGAGAGCCTGCGTAGCTTCTCCACAAGTAAACAATTAGAAATCTGGCGTAAAGCTGGTTGGTTTTCTAAGGGTATAAAGGCAAGACCCTCTTGAGGCTGAATCTGGAGCCTCACCTATGGGTGGACGCACCAAATAGGAATTCTTTCAGTTACCTGAGACTCCTGGCATCGGCTGCAACGGGGCTTCCCAGCTTGAAGTGTGGACCTGGATGATGATTCGGTGGTGACTGGTCGTGTATTTCTTCTGATCTCTGTTCTCTCCATGCAGTAATGACTTGATGCATTACTAATTTTCCTCTGTACTTTATATATAAATATATATGTACTTTATATATATATATATGATTTGCTTCATTGTACTTACTATATATAGAGAGAGAGAGATACATTATTCACATTAGTGTGCTTGTTTGCTTTAGTGTGCTTACTTACTTTAGCATGCTGGTTTAATAAACCATGCATATTATAGAGCTAGTGTACGCACGTTTCGTGGCATACCCTGCCTGGCAGCAGAACAGAAGGGGAAATGTGATTCAGTTGTTTGATACAGCATCTCTCAGAATGTGTTTATATGGCTTTTCTTCTGCTTTCCTAGGTATCGGAACAAGGTTTGATAGAAATACTTGAAAAAGTGAGTCAGCAAACAGAAAAGAAAACGACAGTAAAGGTAAGCTTAGCTTCCTACATGTAATTTTGATTTGTTAAAGGGCAGAAAAATTGCAGGTATTGGACCATTTCTTCCCTGTGAGGGTGGTGAGGCCCTGGCACAGGTTGGCCTGAAAGGCTGTGGCTGACCCATCCCTGGCAGTGTTCAAGGCTAGGTTGGACAGGGCTTGGAGCAACCTGCTCTAGTGGCAGGTGTCTGTGCCCATAGCAGGGGGTTGGAACTGGATGAGCTTTAAGGTGTCTTCCAACCCAAGCCAGTCTGTGATTCTGTGAACTTCACTTTGTATTTACTACCTGTCTTACCTACACTGGTAAGTTCTGAGATTCAATCCCGTCAGTCCTTACCTATAGTAAGAATTGCAGATGTTGGCACTGGGCTGTCAGTGTTCTGTTGTGTCTGTCCTGCACTCTTACACGAGGCAGGGACTTGGTAGGTAATGGGGTGAATGTTCTGCTCCCATGTAATGTTTTCAATGAATGGAGGTTGAGAGGCTTGCTGTGTGTTGTATTTACTGTGACCGTTCTATTTTCACATTTCATTTTAGTTCAACAGAAGGAAAGTATTGGACTCCGATGAAGAGGATGACTACTGATACTACTGTAGGACTGTCTGCCAAAAAAAAAAACGCCTGGGAAAAGGCAACATGCTTTTGTCAGGCAGAATGCAGGATCTGAAAATGTTTACGCTTTTTTTTTTGTGGGTTTTTTTTTGTTTGTTTATAATTAAAAAGGCCAACAAATGAACTCGTCTTTTTAAGTCTGAGAAGGGGATACTGTAACATAATTTTTTTTGTAGTGCAAGAGGCCTGAGCAGTGTGGGGTTCCCCATTGCTTCATTAGCATGAGCAGTTTGTTGCCCTGTACTCATTTGTGTAAGCTATGCTTCCAGCAACAGCACACGCTTAACTTGCTGCAATTGGAGATATATGTCCTAGGTTCAGCAATAGTGGTCATTTTTCTCCTTCTTAGTAGCTGCTGCAGTGCTATGTTTCTGACTTTCAGCCTGGGAACAGCGCTGATAACACTGATGGTTTTAGTTGTTCCTAAGTAATGATTACTCTGACCAAGGACTTTCTGAGTCTCATGCTCTGCCACGGAGGAGGGGAAACCGGGAGGAAGCAGAGACAGGACACCTGACCAAAACTAGCCAAAGGAGTATTCCATACCACAGCACATCATGCCCAGTTATAAAAACTGGGGGCAGTTATCCAGAAGGGCTAGATCACTGCTCGGTCAGGCTGGGTATCGGTCAGCAGGTGGTGAGCGGTTGTATTCTCTTCCCTTGTTATTTCCCTTAGCATTATTATTATTGGTGGTAGCAGCAGTGGTTTTGTTATGCCTTAGTTACTGGGCTGTTCTTATCTCAACCAGTGGGAGTTGCGTTCTTTCAGTTCTCCTCCCAGTCTCTCCGGGAGCGGGGAGAGGAAGAAGGAGGGGGAGTGAGCAAGCGGCTGCGTGGTTCTGAGTTACCGGCTGGGCTTAAACCACAACAGTTCTCTGTGGTGCCCAGCGTGGGGCACGAAGGGTTGAGACAATGACAGATCTGACCAGAGTGTGTCTAATCTATTTGTGATAAGCATTCATTGTTTTGGATTAACAGTCAATAGTCATAATGCTGGTTTATTAGCTCTCAGAGTTGTGCTTGATCTCTGAGTTTCAGCATGTTGTACCTTACTTACAGCCGGTATTTGCTGTGTAAGTGTTTATCGGCAGGGGGGCCTGGGCTAAGGTTCTTGTTTCACTGTACTTTATGGTAATGACTTGTAATACAATAGACTCATTGATGATGAAACTAATCTGTTTTGCATTTCCAGTGTGGTTATCACCTATATACTTTGGGAGGTATGTAATGGAAGTGTTTAGCAATTACACGTTTTTTTCCCTTCTCGGGTGGTCAGCCTATGAAGGAGACATTTCCTTACACCCCCAGCCTCCTCACCAGACCATTTACAGCATCATTTGAGAGTTGTAAAGGTTTTGAAGACCTTTGGGTACCCTTGAGACCTGCCTGCTGATTGTGATGGGGATCACCATGTTGGCACACATACAGAGTGTGTTTTGCCCACTACCATTTCATCTGATTTCAAGAGTTAAGCAGAGTCAGGTTTGGGTCTTGTCTAGGGTTAGGTGACAATATAAGAGGACCAAGAGATTTTCCCCGAGGCTGGACAGTAATGAGTGGCAGGGTGTGTGGGATAGTATGGGCAAGTATCTAGGCCAGTGGGCCCCTCCAGCACTCTGGAACTTCCCCACTGAACAAGTGCAAAATCCAGAAAAATTAGTAAAACACTTAAATGAGGTGTGTTGTCATCCTGGTCGTACCAGAGAGGGACAAATCATGGCAACATGCTGGGGCTTGTCCAATGTGTAGAGAGCCCTGTTCAACACTATCCAGCACCTTCAAAGGGAATATGTCTCTGGATCTGCTGGCAGAGCAGGAGACAGCACAGCTACTCCAACTCCAAGTACAGCAACTACAGCAACCCCAGTGACAAGTACAGCAGCTACTCAGACTCTGACAGCAACAGTGCAGCTGCTGGTACTACTCAGCCCCCAAGCACAGCAGCTGCACAAACCCCCACAACAGATGCTGCAGCCACTCCAACCCTAGTGGCAGACACTGCAGACACTCCAACCACAGTGATAATCCGTGCAGCTAAACCAAAGGAGCAATTCATGCCAGTATCGGTTGCCCCTGTATGCAAGGGGAAAAGCAAACAAGGCACAAAAAGCAACACATACAGTGAAGAAGATGAAGAACCAATACACTTACTACATGGGACAGCATCTGAACCAGAGTTATTATTACATGAGAAACAGTCCCTCAGCCTTTGGAGGTGGCTCTTGGCAGCTGTGAAAGAGGCTTCCATGCAAGGACAATGGTATGGGTCGTTCGGCCAGCTGGACCACACTAGAGAAAGGCATCCATCCAGTCTGTGAGGGCATCAGCCATTGTAGACATGATCTGTCGTAGGCTGGATGCTGGGAATGCATCCGTAGATCCAGATGAAACTTAATGTGCATGACCCATGTGGCAAAAATTTAGAGTGCACCGTCATCATATTCCCACTCATTGGCATCAATAACCTGGCATGATGTAACACCACCAACAGTGGATGAAATGATTTGTCAGCTCCGAGAGCTCAAAGACAATCTCACCCCTTCCATCATTTCAGCTGGGGAAAAACTGTCTCAGGAGTTCAGACAATTGAGAGACAATCTGTCTGATCTATCCAGCTCCTCACGTGTACCAGCGCATGTCTCAGCTATTAACAAAAGGCATTCTACTGCTTGAGAGACAAGATATAGGAGGTACATGCCACGGGCCACCCTATGATTTTACCTGTGGGATCACGGAGAAGACATGAGGAAGTGGGATGGAAAACCTACCTCAGCTTTGGAGGAATGGGTGTGTGAATTGAAGAGGAGAACAGAGGTCAAGGGTGGTCATCCCATGAAAGCTGTGGCTTCAGTCTCTGGTGAGCAGGTTTCCAAATGGAGTGGACGAGCTGATTTTACTCCAGCTCCTGTGGTAAAGAAGACTAATCCCTGTCAATAACACGTAACCAATATTGTGATCACTATTAGAGGGGCCCTGCCTCCAGCCAGGTGGAGGTAGGGGACAATTGGATTTACTGGACTGTGTGGATCAGATGGCCTGGCACATCAGTCCCTTAGAAGTGTAAGGCTCTAGTAGATACCGGTGCACAGTGTACCCTGATGCCATCAGGCTGTCAAGGGGTGGAACCCGTCTATATTTCTGGAGTGACAGAAGGATCCCAAGAGTTGACTGTGCTGGACGCTGAAATCAGCCTGACTGGGAGGAAGTGGCAAAAGCACCCCATTGTGACTGGTCCAGAGGCTCCATGCATCCTCAACATAGACTACCTCAAGAGAGGGTACTTCAGAGACCCAGAAGGGTACCAATGGGCTTTTGGTATTGCTGCTTTGGAGACTGAGGAAATCGAGCAGCTGTCCACCTTGCCTGGTCTCTCAGAGGATCCTTCTGTTGTGGGGTTGCTGAAGGTCAAAGAACAACAAGTGCCAATCGCGACCACAACAGTGCACTGGCGGCAATATCGCACCAACTGAGACTCCCTGATTCCCATCCATCAGCTGATCCATAGACTGGAGAGTCAGGGAGTGATCAGCAGGACCCGCTCACCCTTTAATAGCCCCATATGGCCAGTGCGAAAGTCTAATGGAGAATGGAGACTAACAGTAGACTATCGTGGCCTGAATGAAGTCACACTACCATTGAGAGCTGCCGTACCGGACATGCTAGAACTTCAGTATGAACTAGAGTCAAAGGCAGCCAAGTGGTATGCCACGATTGATATTGCCAATGCATTTTTCTCAATCCCTTTGGCAGCAGAGTGCAGGCCACAGTTTGCTTTTACTTGGAGAGGTGTCCAGTACACTTGGAACTGACTGCCCCAGGGGTGGAAACACAGCCCTACCATCTGCCATGGACTGATCCAGACTGCACTGGAACAGGGGCAAGCTCCAGATCACCTGCAATACACTGATGACATTATTGTGTGGGGCAATACAGCGGAAGAAGTCTTTGAGAAAGGGAGGAAAATAATCCAAATCCTGCTGAAAGCCAGTTTTGCTGTAAAACGGAGTAAGGTCAAGGGACCTGCACAGGAGATTCAATTTTTGGGAATGAAATGGCAAGATGGACGTAGACAGATCCCCACAGATGTGATCAAGAAGATAACAGCAATGTCTCCACCCACTAATCAGAAAGAAACACAAGCTTTCTTGGGTACTGTGGGGTTCTGGAGAATGCACATCCCAAATTACAGTTCGATTGTAAGCCCTCTCTATCATGGGACATGGAAGAAAAGTGATTTTAAATGGGGCCCTGAGCAGCAACAAGCCTTTGAGCAAATTAAACGCGAGATAGTTCATGCAGTAGCCCTTGGACCTGTCCGGACCAGGCCAGATGTAAAAAATGTACTGTACACTGCAGCTGGGGAGAACGGTCCTACCTGGAGCCTCTGGCAGAAAGCTCCAGGGGAGACTTGAGATCGACCCCTTGGCTTTTGGAGTTGGGGATACAAAGGATCTGAGGCCAGCTATACCCCAACTGAGAAAGAGACACTGGCAGCCTATGAAGGGGTTCGAGCTCCTTCGGAAGTGATTGGCACTGAAGCACAGCTCCTCCTGGCACCCCGTTGCCCATGCTGGGCTGGATGTTCAAAGGCAGAGTCTCCTCTACACATCATGCAACTGATGCTACATGGATTAAGTGGGCTGCACTAATTACACAGCAAGCTTGAACAGGAAATCCCAGTCATCCAGGAATTCTAGACGTCATCATTGACTGGCCAGAAGGTAAAGATTTCGGAATGTCACCAGAGGAGGAGGTAATGCGTGCTGAAGAGGCCCCACCATAGAATAAACTGTCAGAAAGTGAAAAGCAATATGCCTTGTTTACTGATGGGTCCTGCCTTATTGTGGCAAAGCATCGGAGATGGAAGGTAGCTGTATGGAGTCCTGAACAACAAGCTGCAGGAACTGCTGAAAGAGAGGGTGAATCGAGTCAGTTTGCCGAGGTGAAAGCCATCCACCTGGCCTTGGACACTGCTGAAGGAGAAAAGTGGCCAGTACTTTATCTCTATACTGACTCATGGATGGTGGCAAATGCCCTGTGGGGGTGGTTGAAGCAATGGAAGCAGAGCAACTGGCAACGCAGAGGTAAACCCATCTGGGCTGCTGCACTGTGGAAAGATATTGCTGCTCGGGCGCAGAACCTGGTGGTGAAGGTACGTCGTGTAGATGCCCATGTACCCAAGAGTCAGGCCACTGAGGAACACCAGAACAACCAACAAGTGGATAAAGCGGCTAGGATTGAAGTGCCTCAGATGGACTTAGATTGGCAACATAAAGGTGAATTACTTTTGGCCCGGTGGGCCCATGACACTTCAGGCCATCAGGACAGAGATGCAACATATAGATGGGCTTGTGATAAAGGGATAGACTTAACAATGAACACTATTACCAAGGTTATTCACAACTGTGAAACATGCTGCAGTTAAGCAAGCTAAACAGTTAAAGCCTCTTTGGTATGGAGGACGATGGCCGAAGTACAACTGTGGGGAGGCCTGGCAGACTGACTATATCACACTGCTGACAACCCACCAAGGCAAGCGCCATGTGCTTACCATGGTGGAAGCAACCACCGGGTGGCTGGAAACATACGCTGTGCCCCACACCACTGCCTGGAACACTGTCCTAGGCCTTGAGAAACACATTCTGTGCGACACGGCACCCCAGAGAGAATTGAGTCAGACAATGGGACTCATTTCCGGAACAACCTTATAGATATTTGGGCCAAAGAGCATGGCATTGAGTGGGTATATCACATCTCCTACCATGCACCAGCCTCTGGGAAAATCAAATGGTACAATGGGCTGTTAAAAACTACACTGAGAGCAATGGGTGGGGGAACTTTCAAGCATTGGGATACACACTTACCAAGGCCACCTGGTTGGTCAACACCAGAGGATATCTGCCAACAGGGCTGGCCCAGCCCAGTCAGAACTTTTACATATTGTAGAGGGGGATAAAGTTCCTGTGGTGCATATGAAGAATTTGCTGGGGAAGACAGTCTGGGTTATTCCTGCTTCAGGTAAAGGCAAACCCACTCGTGGGATTGCTTTTGCTCAGGGACCTGGATGTACTTGGTGGGTAACACGGGAAGATGGGGAAGTCCAGTGTGTACCTCAAGGGAATTTATTTTAGGGGAAAACAGCCAATGAACTCAATTGTATGCTGTTGCCTGCTGTGTAGCACTTTTATAGCCCACCAGCTAGATGTCTTCAGGTCACCAGTGACTGGCCCTGACTTCCCTCCGACCATCATCCCAACAAGGAATGATGAAAGCAGACGTGCTCAGCAATGACCAGACAGGTTCCATGGTGTCATCAGCAGGCAACAATCCAACACTGCACACCATCTCTCCTGCTCTGAAAGACTGCTACAAGAGATGCAGCCTGACATCATGGACAGGATGAATTCAGCAGCTTTATAGGGACTGGTCCATGCACTAAGTAATGATATCTCTCTCTTTGTGTGGGTGTGGATATATATACATATATGTATTTATATTTATATGAGACAAGTGTGATGGTATATTGAAAAATGTGGGATCTGGGCATGATGTGAATGGTGTGGAATAAGGGGTGGATACTGTCCTGTGTTCAGCCATAGCAGTCATTTTTCTCCTTAGTAGCTGGTGCAGTGCTGTGTTTTTGACTTTCAGCCTGGGAACAGCGCTGCTAACACTGATGGTTTTACTTGTTCCTAAGTAATGTTCGCTCTGACCAAGGCCTTTCTGAGTCTCATGCTCTGCCATGGAGGAGGGGAAGTCAGGAGGAAGCAGACAGGACACCTGACCCAAACTAGCTAAAGAGGTATTCCATACCACAGCATATCATGCCCAGTACATAAACTACGGGCAGTTACCCAGAAGGGCCAGATCACTGCTCAGGTTGGGCTTGGTATTGGTCAGTGAGTGGTGAGCAGTTGTATTCTCTTCCCTTGTTATTTCCTTTATCATTATTATTATTGGTGGTAGCAGCAGTGGTTTTATTACACCTTAGCTACTGGGCTGTTCTTATCTCAACCTGTGGGAGTTACATTCTTCCAGTTCTCCCCCTCCCTCCGGGAGTGAGGGGAGTGAGCAAGTGGCTACATGGTTCTCAGTTACTGGCTGGGCTTAAACCAGGACAATATACCGTAACACGAGGAGGAGCTAAGTGTAAAGCTGGAACAGCCACTCCTAGGAGTTCAAAGACTTACCTCTGGGTGCTAAGTCACAGAAGTGTTATAAAGGAGATTTCCTGAGCCTCTGAGGTACCCCATCCAGCAGCTCACTCTCTCTCAACTCCTTATTGAAAATTAATCAAATGAAGTGAGGGTATCACAGTCGTGCTTGAATCGGAGGACTTCAGATCAGGCACTCTGAAGTTGTAACCAGCAGACAACATCTTTCCCCTATGAAATAGATTGTCTCAAAAAAGGAAGTTAACTCTGTAATACAGCACTGTTCAGACACTTGGTATCCTGTATGTTTAAAACTACCTCCATTTTTATCAAATGGCTGGAGTGTTTCTTACTTTGAAAAAAGAAGACCGTTTTCCTAAACTCTCTGCAGCTCCTGCATGCATAAAGTGAAACTGAACCTGTGCTATATGTTTATTCAAGAACATGGTTATGGAAGTACGATAAATAATGTACTGATAAACACTCTACCACCACAGTCCCCTTTGCTGACCTGATTTACAGAAACATATATGAATCCCAACTGCATTGTTTTTTAGGAACAGAATAAAATTGCTTTAAGTGAGCACTAGTGTGTGGTTTTCTTTTTGTGTGAATGGCATTGAAGAGTATTTAAATGGTTATTTTTGTTTAATATGGACTATGGCATATGGCTTGTCTATTTTTGTAATTAAGATCCCTTAACTTCAGTACCATCGTGGGTGTATCCTAAATTTCTTTAGACTAATGACTCTTTAGCAGTGTGAAGAGTTTCAAGCTATGGTGTGGCAATAGATGGTTTAAGAGTTTTCCCATTAAGGCTACAGATAGGTAGGTCCTTAGCATCCATGTTTCACATTCCCATTCCTGAGTTTATAAAATTCTTCTCTACATGACCTTCATGTCCTTGCTGCTCTGGAACGGCTGTTAAAATGCGAGTTGTTAAAATGTGACTTAACAATGTGGATTTATTTTCAGTTACAACCTTTTGGAGATTAAACTGGACTGTGTGGTAGGTAACACACTTTGCAGACAAATTCCAAGTGTCATGAAGTTGATGGGTGTATTTGCACTGCACATGGTTAGACAGGGACAGCTTCCAGGGGTACTCCCTTCAAATCCTATTCCTCTTTACCCCTTGATCATCATATCTTGAATATTAAAGTATTTTTTAATTACAAGCTTGATGAAGCACATCAAAGGAAACTTGCAAACTTGCCTAAATAATTTGTCAGTCGTTATCTTTCCATCATTTAGATTAGAGTGGAACTGTCTGGCATTTAAGTGGTTTTTTTTTAGTACATACTCTATAAATCCAGAATGCTAGGAAATAAGCTTTATCCTAGACTGAACACTGAATAAACCTGGCTTGGTCACTTAAGTAGCCTCAGGTTCACAATGACAACTATTCTTATTCTGTAGTAGAATGGACAACTCAGGTTAATTCTATAAATTTCTACTTTTTCTATAAAACTAAAGAAAAAAAATGTTCTCCTGTTAGATGTCTTGTTTAATCTAAATTTTGTTTAAAAATACGATAGCAAATATTTCCCAGGGCTGCATTATATTGCTTTAGTAAGCTACTACTTTCTTTAATACTTCATTTGTGGGGGAGGTTTTTCAAAGGAAGTGTTATATTAACACTTGGCCAATTCTTTTTTCTTTTTCCAAGTAAATTAACCAGTAATTCTGTAACTGCATTGAGGCTGAAACTTGTGAGTGTTGCATCTGGGTCATAATTTGAATAGAATACAACACAATGCACTTAAAACGTTAGCAGTGTGGAACAAGTTGTTTGCTTGAATACCTGTTGTATTCAAAATTTGGTTTTAATAGAAGAAAAAGCAAATACCCAGAGTTCACAGCCTCTTATAATTTTCTCTAACTCTTTTCAAAGGTGCCTAATAAGCTGTCTTAAAACTTGTTTCCAAAGCTATTCAGCCACACTATGCTTATTATTAAGGATTAAGAAAAAAAGACCTGATACTGTACCTGCTGTCCCTGTGCTAACTGTAGTTACAGCAGTATATTCTATGCTTACAATGTAGCACAGTACCACCAGTATTAAAAAGTTAATGAAGTGACTTTTCTCATCCATACTGTGAAGAAGTCTTAAGAATAATATAGTTAAATACACAACATAGTTTAAAACACAAGCAAAATCCTATGTAGTCTGGAAACCAGATCTATTACATTTTAACTTGCATCTTAAACTTTAGACATAATACCTAGGTTATTTTTGCTACAGATGAGGATAAGTGACTTACTGTAGGTCATCTTTTTAATGCCACAAGAATTAAAAAAAACAAACAACTAATTAATCTCTTCTTCTTCTTGGTCTTTTCGCTTCTAGTAGCTGAACATCCATCCTACATTTTTAAATGGCAATGTAGAGATAAAGGGCATTACATGAAAATGTTAAACTTTAATCCAAAGGCACACAACCTAGTAATAGTAATCCATGAATGTAAGAGGGAAGAAAGTCATACTGAACTTGAGAGTAAATTCCAATAGTTTCTCTTCAACTTACATACAGAAACAAGGTGAAGTCTTCAAATGCCCACAACAAAAGCAAGGAAATCTGCGTAAAGGACTAAATTCTTTGAAAAAAAGCACTCATAGAAAACAGTGTTTTCAAGAGTTTTTACTAGTTTTTCTTTCCATCATTTGGCACAAATCCAAGGCACATTAGAAAGTCAGATTAACTCATAAATTATTAGAAAAATAAACACACGACCCTCATATCTCCAAATGTCCACATGTGCACTTATTGCCCATTTACCTCTTGGATTAAAAAGTTACTTTAAAAAAATCACCAGTATGTCCTCCAGCTTTGTACTTTGCCAGGCAGTTTACTAATAGCACAGTTAAAAGAAATGGAGTTATTCATACAAAATAGTTGCTGAAATAAAATGCAAGCAGGATGTGATGAGTCAAGGATAAAAAATACTGCACTTAAGAAACCTGGCTTGTGCTATTTACACGTTCTCCTACCATAACAGAAACAGTAGAAAATGAAGTTCAGATCTAAGCTGTCATCTCATAGTTACTTGTGGGCTTTCAATTCTTCAGTTATCACCTCTAGGAATGGGACAGTATTTGCCCTATTCTAACAAATTCTTACTGATGCGAGAAGTACGTGTCATAACTGGAATTCCACCTTTTAAAGAGCAGTCCAGAGCAGGCTCTAAACCAGTTTTATCCGCAGATGCTACCAGGTTCAGAACCATGAATATTTATTTGTGCATTTCTGCATGACTTTCCTTAGCGGAAGGGAGAGGGGGGAACCAAAACACAACTGCTTTCTAATATCTGAAGGGGGCCTACAAGGATGCCAGAGAGGGACTCTTCATCAGGGAGTGTAGCGATATGACAAGGGGAAATGGGTTTAAACTTAAAAGAGGGGAAGTTCAGGTCAGATATAAGGAAGAAGTTATTTACTGTGAGGGTGGTGAGGCACTGGAATGGGTTGCCCTAAGAAGTGGTAAATGCTCCATCCTCAGCAGTGTTGAAGGCCAGGTTGGACAGAGCCTTGGCCGACATGGTCTGGGGTGACCATGGCAGTGGGGGTGGAACTAGATGATCTTAAGGCCCTTTCCAACCCAAACCACTATGATTCTATGTGTCATTACACTTGCCTCTGCATCCTTTTTTTGATGAGGCTGTGAGCATCAAGTCCAGAGTTCAGCTTTGTCAAGGGCTCTCTGCTTCTTCCCTTGGATCCTGTGTAAGAACTTGATCTTGCAGACCAATACAGGGCACATCGCAAAGAAATGAGCAAGGATTACACCCCGTCTCATTAACAGCATGCATAAATTTCTAACACAGCACCACAGATGTTATGGACTGTTGTTTTCCCAGCTACTGAGATATACAGAAATATATACTATAACAGTTTGTAACATACAATAAAAATAGAGACATTTCAATTACCTCTGGCAATAAATACCTAGTTATCCAATATATCTTTATATATAAATATATATGTATTTATATATACTTATCCAACGTAGTGATAAAGACTGAAAATGCAAAAAGTTATTCAAAGACTTTTAAAAACAAAGTGGTGGCTGAAAAATACAATACAGGGTTTCATTTGGGTTTACTTGTTACACAGAATTTTTTAACAAGTGCTAAGTAGAATAGGAAACTAATTTTGCTGTCTCCACCTCAGTAAGTCCCTGTTTGTTGAGATCAGTAACAATCTGGCTGTTTAGTTACACCTCCAACATAAATCCAACAGAGAGGATTCAGTCTTCCAAAGTGCTAGGAGCATTCTGTTCCTGCACAGGAGTCATCCTGGATTCTGTCTTGAAGGCAGGCTTGCAAGTGTCAATCAATCACTGGGTGTACAGCGAAGGGTTACTGAAATTGCCACAACCTCAGCTTTTGACATCAAATTCATACTTGTCAATATTCTGAAAGCAAGTCATCACAGCAGTCCTTTGACTGTGAAAAACTTGGATTTCCAGGGCTGGATAAACTATTATCACTGACATTCTTTGCTGAAAGTGGCATATTAACAGTGTGTCTCCAGTGGGTTAGTTTACTCCTGTGAGGAACTTCTATCACATCGTCATGTTTCACAGACTCACCACTGCATCCTGTGCCAATGATCTTCACTTCACTCTGGTCCAGTGTTTCAACAGATTTTAACTTGGCTTTATCAAAGCTTTTGATAGCTAACTGTGAGGACAGGAAAATGGCATGTTAAGAGCATTGCCTGCTTCATTACAAAGAAGTAAAATGAATATAGTGTTTCTTGACTACAATTATCACATTAATTACATGGTATTCTTTACACTGAGAGCACAGCCAAGGATTAAAAATAGTGTACTTTGTGGGACAGAAATTATATTCAGTCTACATATGAGAAAAAAAGAAGAGGCAAACCTGCCCCAGGCTATACACAGCAGTACCACAAGTGAAAAGGTAACAAAGGCTTTCCAAAACTTATTTTCACTGCTCTGTCCCAATACCATCCTAACTCTTCTAAGCACATTATGTAATGCAAGTCTCAAGATACTTGAAATTAACAGCCATTTCTTTTACCGTTAAGAAACATGTTAAGTACTAATGTAAGTAAGAATACAGACAGGCTCCAGCAGGCACTGATGAAGGCAAAGGCAAGAGCTCCCTGCTTCCTGATCTAACCTGTCAGAGAAGGTGTCGTGGTTTAAGCCCAGCCAGCAACCCAGAACCCCGCAGCCGCTCACTCACACTGCCCCCCCCCGCCTCCACTCCCGGAGGAATGGGGAGGAAGTACCCCCACCCTCCCACCCCCCTTAAAGACTCCTTTTGGACATTCCAACTATTATTACGTTCCATTTCCCCATCTGAGTTTTCCTTTTCAGAGTGAGTGGCTCTCTTTGATTACTGGCCCCCCTGCAAAAGTTATAACCAAGAAAAAAAACAAAAGAGAATCCAAGCATGCTCATGACAGATTTTCTAAGATGAGAACCAAAGAAATTAATTATAATACCAGTTTACTGAAACAATGCTAACAACAGCCCTCAGAGGCTGCAGAGTTTTTCAAGCCTTGGTATAACCTAGATTTTTCTAGCCATGACACAGAAAAGACAGAGATGAAGCCTGCAGTAAGAGGCTCAAGAGGTTTAAAAGTAAGAATAAGATGTGTTACAGAAGTAAGAATAAGAAGTGTTACAGAAGCACCAGTGAAGTTTAAACAATGATGAAACATTAGTAAATTAGCAAAGAGGTCAGAACTTTTGGGATTCACCAACAGCCACTACTAAAAAAACCTTTTCTGTTACATGTATCGGTATTAACAGCAGACAAAACAATCAGATTTACTGTTATACAAATAATGCAAGCATTTCCACTTACCTGATGCAATAACTCATAGTCAAAATTAGGGACACTTTTATCTCTTGTTACTGTTCTCCGTAAATGTTTTGCTCTAAAAAAATATTTTAAAGAAATTAAATTCAACCACATTAACTCTTTGCAAAGTCTCTGCCACAGAAAATCCAGAAGGTGGCACTACCTCCCCAGAGAAAGGCTGCTCGCTGGCACCTGAACCTCAGAATGACAGCCTACTAGTATTTCCTGTATTTTATCACAGAATATGCTTTAATGTTTAAAAGATCATAGGCAAGACCCAACCACTGAGTGAAGGACTAAGATAAGCATTCTGCTTTGAAATTCTTAATTCATAGTACTTAATACTTAATACATAGTATTAGTGGAAAACCAATTTTCAGTATAGTTGCAAGTACCCCTTTGCTGGCCAGCTTTTCCCTTCTGCTGCACAGCACATCAGTGGTGTTGGGTGTTGATCACCAATAAGCATGTCATATCACAACATCTGCCTGGTGATATGAACATGCACACCTCGCAGATTAACATCTACCATCAAATTAGTCGTATGTAATGTGCAATACTGCCTGACCCGTTTGGGGGCTTTTTTAACCATTTTATTTCTTGTTTGCTTGTGGGAAGCAGTAAAAACATTTCTGAGGAAGCTGCTATGCTTACTTGTTAAATCTGTTAATTGACTGGACCAGTTGAAGTTGTCTGCTTATGGGATCATCAACTTTCTCACATGGCTTAGACTTCACTAGGGGTTTAAAAGAACAGGCAGCTAAAATTAGAATGGAGTCACACTTGAGAATTAAAAAACATAGTTCTGAAAAGTGGTTCTACTGACATTAGAATTAAAATTTTATAGTAAAACTGTATAATAGTAATAACCTGTATCAAAGTCACAATTTATCTTTGGAAATTTTAAAGCATTTTAAGTTGCAGGAGTAAGCATCCTCCATCAGATTAGCATGACTGGCCATGCTTCTGATGAGACTATATAATTCTGGACCTTGAGTCCCTTCATTCCAATTTTCACAAACCTGAATTAACACACAGGTGGTATACCAGCTCTGCATCAGTATTACCTACTCATGTCTTCTATTGTTCTTTTAGAACTATTCTCTTAATATTTGAAAGAACTGTATCAAATTTGGGCATCAGCATACTGTGATTAATTTTGGTTTTTATCAAGGAAGCATTCACAGTCTTTCACAGAGAGCAGGCAAGACTTCTTTCCAGAAGCCTAACTGAAACTCATGGATGCTGAAATGGGCACTCCTGCTCCTCATCTGCCTCAGTTCTTACTTCTACAGCTTCACTGTCATCCTTCCACAGCTTTGGTGGCAGCTGGTCCTCTGCTAGGCTGCATTGTCTAGCTCAGCATGAAACCTGTTACACCCCTTGCCTCAAGTTAGTGAACTGCACCTGCTTGAAAATTCATCTGAAAAACTGAGCCAACTAAGGAAAGTAGTGCAAAAGCAAGACCAAAAGTGAGGGCAAAAAGAAAGAGGTGAGGATGGATGGTGAGTAACACCACCTCTTTCAAGTGGCAATAAGCCACTGCATCAGCTCAGATGTACTGTCAAAACAGTACCGTCTGTATCAGTGTATCTGCTTAGGCTGTGCAATATCCTGCCATTTACTGAAAGTTATTAATTAACTAACCATGCTTAACAGTTTAACCTTTGTAGCTCTTACTTCTTTCCCACAGTATGAGAGACACTAACTAATGGAAGAGTCACTGCCTAACCTGTTTTAGAGAAAATTACTTCTTTGCTTACTTTGCACTGAAATTGTACGCGTATATATTAATAATATAATCTCAAATGTGGTATGTTTTTTCACCTTTAAATGCTTTTGTACATAAAATTCCCCCCACGCACAAAAAAGTGAGTTTGTAGCAATGTCATGAACATAATAAAAGTATGCTGCATTTACAGTATTTTAGGCACTACCTGTAGCAAATGTGCAAAAGAGTTGACTATCCTTTAATTATATATAAGTCAATTATACAAAATACTTGATGGAGTCACACATGAATTCCTAAATCCCTTTTTATTTATACCAGTGGAAATATGACATGTACCTTTTTTTCTTATCTTGACAGAAGCATGCTGCTCACACTCCTTTTCTTTCTCTGCTGATGCAGGTACATAGCTTGGTGCTGTTTCCAGCAACTTAATGATATTTGAATTCTTAATTTTAAAAGTTTCCATTTTCACCATTATTAAAGAAAAAGAAAAAACATCAATACAATTTAGGATTATAGTCTACGCAGAGTGTTAATTAATTGCTGCTTAAAATAATGTAATGCACACAAAAAAAACTCATTATAAATACAATTCAGTTGTATCATTTTGAGTAGGGACAAGCTGCACTGTACTGAAGTGATGATTTTGTAGTCTTGGCCTATTATTTTAAACTGCATTATTTATGGTTAAGCTTATTTCAGTTTAGATGATAATAAACACATGAAAATTGATACAGTACAGAATTTTGTAGCCATTATGCTACATCTCAGAGGCTATTTAGGCACATAAAGATAGGGACCATGCATCAAATAATTAAAAGACTGAAATAATTCTTCATAATTTAGTATTACATATTATTCTGTTAATAAAAGGAAGGTCAGAGTTATCAAAGACAGGATGAAAGGTATCAAAAGTCATGAAGGGCAAAACACAGTGGATGCAACAAGGAAGACTGCTCTCAGTGTAACTGATTAGCTCAAGATGTTCATTTTCCTACACTCAACATTTCTTCTGCAATCTTTGCCACTACCAGTACATATTTTAATGTCATTTTCATTCATGTATGTGCTTTCACTCTTTCCAGATTAATCCTTTTTGTCTAGGATAACTTATTTTAGAAACACAACAGGTTTTATGTACCACAGGTACTGTATTGCACATTGTACAATGAACAGGCATCTTACTCTTTGTATCATGCATAACTGTTAAGTATAGAAGTCTTGGCAAATACTGGTGTGACAAGCAGTTATATCTGCACATGGAACTTTAGAGAAATTTAATGTCAGACATGATCTTTCTGCACTCACCGGGTCAGCGCAGTCTGCAGGGGTGCAGTTCCTTTCATTCCTGATGTGCGTCATTGCACCATTCCGAAGGAGCAAGCCTACCAAGGCTTCATTCTTCCCTATCACTGCCTCGTGCAGTGCTGTATTTCCTTTGGCATTAGAAAGGTTAACAGAAGCTCCGTGCTGGACAGCAAGATGGAATGGAAGTTACAAAGACAGAATAGCACAAAATGGAGATAGCATATGATTATTCTGATTTCCTCTCCTTTTCAATGTATGAATGAGAACAATGCAACGGAAGTCTTGTGGCTGTATAGGAACCCAGAAAGCATGTGCTAGCAATCAACACTTCAACAATAAGCCACCTGATATTATTTTCTCCTTTCTCATAGCCACAATTTCATGGATTAGCTCATTTCATTTTGGTATGTTTACATACTCTGAGTTTAAGAGATACTAAAAAAAAAAAAAAATGCAAAACCCACAAACCCCCCCTTGCGACAGAATCATCAGCAAGAAAACTTAACACCTGCCACAAAAAAATTTTCCATAAAAAAAGCTCTCTGTACAACAGTAGAGTAATATTTATCTAATAAAAAACAAGGAAGGGATTGAAAGAAGTCAGGTAACAGATACACTAATTTTTTTCCCAAGTAGCTGTGACAGAGAAACTAAAAATACTGTTCCTGAGTGCTGGATAAGTATCACATGACAAATATTATTCTGAACATTCTGTTTTCAGTGATCTTACCTGCAACAACAAGGCAGTAGTCTCATACTGACCATTCAAGCATGCGTAAATTAAAGGAGTGTTTCCATATATATCCTTTTTATTTTGTTTAGCATTATAACCCATCAGACATTTTACCACCTATTGACAGAAATAACAACCTTTTAAGACACCAGCCAACCATAATCATGCAGTGAAAGCCCTCCTCTAGAATGAAAAGAGATGGAAGAAAAAAGGATGGAGAAGTCTCATCTTTGCCAAACAGATAATAACCACAAGCATCTCTTTCTATCATACTCATTTTCACATTCTACCACACACTTTTAAAGCAAACACAAAGAAAAGCAACTGAAAGGCCAGAAAATAAACCTGGAGATATGTGAAAACCACACATAACCAATAACTTCACAAAACATGAAAACCAAACGACCACAGCAACAGTGTCCTTTCACCCTTTCCTCTCCAGAACTCATCAGAACACTTGGAAGGAATTGTGCTGTAAATACCACACAAACTAACCTCCATTAATCTACAAGTTTAACTTGTATTCTTGTTTTCTTCTCCCTTCCCTACTGCTTTGTCTCCCCTTCATCTTCATAATTCTTTTTTTTCCCTCTTGCAGTTCTCAGCTCCCTATTTTTAAACCCGATTTTCCACTTTTCTGCACACTCTCAATTTGCCTGTCTGCATCTACTTCTTCCTAGATCATTGTTTTTCCCCTCGTTTATTCTCCCTCCTGTGCTAATATCCTTGCCTCACTAGCTCGTACTGCTTCTTCAATGCTCATGCTTCCCTGACTCGAAGCAAGGGATAAGGTTGTCTTCTACCACTTGGCTCATAATCTACTTAAATTAGCTGAAGACACAGAAAATACTTAATACTGTGGCTACTGAAGATACCAAGCTGCACACATAACCTCCTTCAACAGAAGGTACAGGCAAAAAATACATAGGAAGATTCAGATACACAAAGTATTTTTAAAATGCTTGGCATACAACAGTAGCTACATTTCACTGTTCCTGTTTCAATCATGTTGATAATTTCACAAAATAGCTTTTTTTTGGTGGTTAAGTGTTAAATAACTTGCACTTGTGAAGAGGCTCAGCTACCTGGAAGTGACCCTTCTGGCAGGCCAGATGAAGAGGAACTGCATGGTTTGCATTCTTGGCACTGATACTGGCTCCATGTTTCAGTAAGAGACAGACAAGTTCAGAGTGTCCATGCAGTGCAGCCATGTGCAGTGGTGTAAAACCATCTTCGTTGGAAACATTTACTCCAAGTCCATTAGCGGAGATCTTCGAAAACTTCTGTTGAGGGAAACAGACACCGGAACTACAAAATTAATTATGCTTCTCTCTGCTGACTAAAAAGCAGCCAAATACCTGCTAAGTATATACCAAAGAGGAAAACAGGCATTACAAGAACTTCTACTACAGAGCATAATTTGAGACCTTCAGGAAAAGAGTTAGTAAACCAGAGCACCTTGGTAGCACTTTTCAACGGAACAATGAAATTTATTTTTATCTCATTTCTTCCAGCATGATAGCTTCATATAGAGAAATTCCAAGCAAATACAGGGTACTGTATTTATTCAAAGTTGGACAAACCTTAATTACAGCAATCCACATATTCTGAAAGCAAACTGCAAAGTTTTTTCACCCCATTAGATATTGAGCAAATCTTTGAATGTTTCCTGTATCCAAAATTTTCTACCCTTCAATTAAAAAGAAAATGATTTCATTACATCAGATGAACTGTTTCAGATCAATATATATTCCCTTGCTTTTCAGGCAGAGATAGAGGTTTTGGGCAATATGAATGCTACTTCCCTAGAGCTAAAAGTTACATTACAAGAATGTAATTTATTCTTTTTACAGAATGAATACTCTAACCTTTTGTACTGGCCCACATTTTGAGCACTGGCATAACGGATGGCAGAATTCTGGTTTTGATGCACTGGCTGTGTCATCCTCATCTTCTAAGTCTTCTTCCACCCATTCCAAGAGATAGCGTACCTGGCATAAAAAGCAAGTCCTCCTTTAGAAAGTCCAAAGGCTCCATGTCCTCATAAATTTGCATATGTAGACAAGTAAGATTTCACAAACATACACTTGTGAATATCTCAGGATGATTATACAGCTACCTCCTGGCATCAACTGCCCACAGGCCAAATTAAAAAATCAAATGTTATTGTTGGCAAAGCAGCTACAAATTTCAACATACACAGCAGTGAAACACATTAGAAACTACTTCCTGCTACCTAATCAAGACTTCAGTGTTCGCTTATTCTCAAACTCTCCCAATCCTTTTAGCGCAGATGACTTGTGCCAGCTCATATCAATGCAAATTCTGCCTCATCTTTTGCTTTACGGAATTTGAGACGTGGCAAGGGTGATGATATTTAACCCATATCCAAAACTAAGCAGGGGCACCGACTTTTCTCAGGTCTGTCAATTCCCAGGTGCTTGACAGTTCTGCTTTTTCTTCAATATACAATGCCCCATTTTTGAGGAAAGAGGCTCTTCAATGTAGACAGTTTTAGGACTCAGAGCATTCACGTGCAATTTGTAAACAGTGGTGCTTACTGCATGTTAATTTTATATTCAGTGCGGCAAAAAAAAAAAAAAAAGCTGTTTAAGAAATAAATTTTTACCTTGAAATTCATTAATCACCTACAAACAAAAGTCATCTTAGAATCAGCAGCAACTTTATTAAGTCTCCATGATCACACCATCTGGCAATGTTACACCTGACATCTATCTAGTGTATTATTCTGAGTCTGTACTATGCTCAGTGAGACAAGTCTTTCAGAAACTCAAGACAAAGTGAGAATTAAATTGGTCTCATAATGTAAGGGACAATACATTAACAGTCACCTTTTCTTAGGTACTTGGAAAGGGCTAACATCACGGCACTCAAAAAACCAAGGCAGGAGGAAGATCAGCGTACTTGTGTGTGGAGGCAAGACCTCTCACAGCTCCTGCAGATCTTCTGGGAAGGTATTACTCAAAATATTCTTCACTTATTATTGACAAATAATTTCCTCAATTTCAATGAGGTAAATTGGAATTCAGTAATATCCAACAGCCACCCTAAGACTCACCATTTCCAGATCTCCATCAGCAACTGCTCTCAGGAGTTTTTGCACCTATGTATTAAGAAAACAATTTATTTGCTTTGTTAGTATTGATATTAAGCTGTACACAGGAAACCCTGTGTCCTTCACTAACCTCCCTAAGCTCATGTGGTAGCATTACTGCTTGCTCATTTCATATTTGTTGATAAAGTTTTAAAGGAAAAACCTTCTTCCTTTATGAAGTACAAAAGCCATGTAAGGCCATCTGATGATCTGACTTGCTTAGTTAAAGATAAACAGTACTTACCTAAATAGAGGACATGTAGCCCACACATAAACAAAGCCATGTAAGCTGATATATGTTACTATGCCACTTCAGCAGCAGCTGACCACGCGTTTCCGTTGTGAACCTAACATTAAGAATCCCTAGTCAAGATAAATTTCTACCCTGATAAATGCTAGTACTGTTTGGAATCTTCCTGAGCTACTGTGTGCTACCAGAAGTACAAAAGATACAGATTTTATTTTACTATTTGAGAAACAACAGTTTAAGATGAAAATGATGCTTTCCAATTGTTTACAATCTGCAGATTACTGGTTTATTCCTATGTTAAAAACCCAAACATTTACAAATCTAACTTGACTGTAAGTATGAAATCTGCTTTCTTACTTAAAATCTGAAAAGATACAAATATCAAAGGGTATGCATTAGCACAAACCAGGTCACTTCAAATCAGCGAGTTAATCCAATGGACCAGCACTAGACCAAAAAGTATGCGTATGCTCAGGCCAGATAATGCCTGAGCACAGCTACTGGGTGTAAGTATTCTCCTGTTTATGAGCTCTGCAGGGGGGAAAGAGGCAAGTAGGAGGAAGAAGACATGAAAGGTGCTCTGTAATGCACAGATGCCATTCTCCTGATCCCTCTGACTGCTTTTGAAAGCAAGAGAATGAGATGTACTTGTCTCCCTGCTTCTCTGATTCTCTACTCTCACATGAAGGAGCTGAGATCTAACCTGCCAGAAATGGGATAGGTGTCCGCAAATGGGCAAGGAGACTCGTCCGGCCTACGCAGATTTGTTGTTAAGCCTAGCTGGTAACTCAGAACCAAGCAGCCACTTGCTCACTCCCCCTCCTTTTTCCTCTCCCTGCTCCCAGAAGGATGGGGAGGAGAATTGGAAGAATGTAACTCCCACTGGTTGAGGTAAGAACAGTCCAGTAACTAAGGTATAACACAAACCCACTACTGCTACCACCAATAATAATAATGATAAGGGAAGTAACACGGGAAGAGAACACAACCGCTCACCACCTGCCAACTGATATCCAGCCCAACCCTAGCAGCGATCTAGCCCTTCTGGGTAACTCCCCCCAGTTTCTATACTGGGCATGATGTGCTGTGGTATGGAATACTCCTTTGGTTAGTTTGGGTCAGGTGTCCTGTCTCTGCTTCCTCTCGACTTCCCCTCCTCCCTGGCAGAGCGTAAGACTCATAAAGTCCTTGGTCAGAGTAATCATTACTGAGCAACAACTAAAAACATCGGCATTATCAGTGCTGTTCCCAGGCTGAAAGTCAAAAACACAGCACTGCACCAGCTACTAAGAAGGAGAAAAATGACTGCTACTGCTGAACCAAGGACAAGACTGTTGAAGAATCAGCTAATAAGCTTTGTGAAAGTCTGATTCAGCAGTATAGCATATTATTTTAGTACTGTGCTACAATCACCAAAGATTCTGCTGTGTAAACAAAGCTGTTTCAATATGAAGAAACATCCTGCAAGTTGAGGATGTCATGGAGCAACAGTTACAGTTACATTTCAGTCTTTATCTAGAAACTACTATCTTGCTGTGACAGCAGTGTGTGGCAAAGCAAACTAGGAAGGAGAAGTTGTGTTTTACTGGTCTGATTCGTTTCTTCAGGGTTTTAGCAAAAGGACAGAGCATCCAGAGCTGAAAGATCAGAGGCTAGATTGAATCTTTTTTTTTTTTCAGGAAAGCTTCTAAGTTTTATTTTATTATTACTTGCCAATACAAGGTAAAGCTCCTTGAAGTGGTACAATGGGCACTCAAAGCAGAATTCCTCTTTGCTAACTTTGAATGCCTAAAAGTTAGCCCTCTTACCTAGGTCAGTCTTTTAAACTTCTCTTCTAACTACAGAACAAAATGCAGTCACCAAATGACACTGAAGTGCAACTCAGGTCAAACTAAGCATGTCTGAGATTAATTCCTCTCTGGAAGTACTGATTTCTCTTCACTAAGCAGGGAAAGTAGATGTCTGAAGTTAGGACAATTGTCTTTCAGACATCTGAAGTTAGCTGGGCTGAATCCTAATCTCTATACATCTAAATCTAAAATGGACTATATATATTAGGGAGGCCTCTGCTCCCCATATGTCTCCCCTGCTCATATAGGATAATGTCAAAGGAGATTGTAAAGGTCTTGATGATTTTCAGGAGCCAGTCTTATCACATACAAGATGCTGAACAGTAATAGAAGGTGACCCACAAGCTCTGATAATTTCCTTCCAAAAATAGCACCTTCCTTATAGTTCTAAAAACTGCCTCAGGCCCTAGCAGTGGAGAAGCATACAACATCTGTTATTCAGCTTATAGATAATTTATTAAAAGTACTTAGAGCAAAATGTCTGCTACATGCATTTCCCCATCTTTTCAGTTTGCTTTCTCATTCCTCCATGGAATATAAGTGCCTTCCTTTAAATGTAAAAACAGATGAAATGAATCTACTGCAGTTCACTTGCATGCTCAGTTTTCCCGTTGAAATTGTGCAGAGAGTTTAGTTCTAACAGAGGATGTTCCAAATTTACATGCCTGGCTCCTTTACTCTCTCTTTTCTAAGTTGTAAACAAGCCACATACAAGACATACACCATGACAGAAAGGAACTAAAGCTGGATTACAGGAGAAGGTCATTAATGCCAAGAATCTCAGGTGCAAATTGCTCGTAATCTTTTCCCCTGGTTTGAATTACAGTCTTAACTTTCGGGTGTGACAAATTTGTTCCTTTAAGGAAAAATAAGCCTGAAGTGAAAACAGATAAATCTATGAATTTATGAAACTAAATCTATAAGGTGAATTTTTTTTTTTTAGACCTTATTTAGAGTACTTGGCTTTGTACAAACAAGGAGGAACAGTCCTGCATTGAGGCTGTCAGAGTAACTGATAATGAAGTGTGAAGTAATACTGTCCAGTCAAACTCTACATCTTTGAGCGTCTTGAACATTTTTAGAAAGCAGAAACTTTTGGCAAGAGAACAACTTTTTACTAGCAGGAATAGGAAACATTTTAACATAGAGGTGATACAGAGATAAACAAAAACACTAAGGAAGTCAATTTTGACAAAAACTGAACAGGAGAACTGGAAAAAAATGAAGAGAGAAGCATCAGAAGGAGTGGTGATATGACAGTCTTAGGAAGGGATAAATGGAAAGTAGGGTTCCAAGGTTTCACATGAAAAAAAAATCAGAGAATGACATCTTGTTTGGTGTGGATAAAGCAAAATCAGCAACAATATACATACAAGATATTTAATACATAGTGTGTACTACTTCACGTTACAAAACGGATTTCCTATGCCTATTTTGAAAGACTGTCTTAACATTTTAGTTTGTTGTTTGCCAGTATGCCTGTAATAGTCTCTTTCCCTGACAGATTTTTAAGTAAAAGACATTCAACTTCTGGAGAGGACAGCAAGGTCCTTCGGGCACTGACTGCCATTATAATTTTACAAACTTCAACAAATTCAGTTATGTATTAACTGCAGTAAATCTGAACAACTACTCCAAATATGCTTTCAGTTTTCCCCCAGAAATAAGCAGCAAAGCAGTTGATACCATACAAGTGTTTAGATACTCAGCTGACAAGCACCTGAGATAGCAGCATATAATTTTCCAAAACAGACAGAAGGCTATTCTTGAATAAGCAGTTTAAAAGAGTGTTCCAAAATATCACTCTCCCAGCTCCTTCTCTTTGCTTATTGTAAGAACTTACACCTTAGTCTTACCTCTTTATAACTGTTTTTCACTTCTTCTTTTCTTATTTCAGTTGATGTTGATGACAGGCTTGAGACAGATGATCCTCTGCTGAAAGTTTCTGTTGACCGCTGAGGAGACCTAAGTGGTGACTTAAAGGTGGAGAAAAACCCCAAACAAACAAAACCCCACACAAAAGAAAAGTTATTTATCAAATTAAGCAGGTTAAACAATGGCAAAAAGTTTAGCAACTTGCATTCATTGTTACCTCAGAAGCACTCTGTCCTCTTTCAAATGTTAGAGAGTTTAATTCCATCAATGACAAAATCTGCACAAAAATATTAATAAAGAGAACCAATGTAATTCCACTTAAAGAAGAATCTACTGACCAAAACACAAATTAGCCAACAACCTAATATTAGGAACAGATTATGACTGAGCAGATTAAAAGCGCCCATTTACAAGTTTATGTTGCATACCACATGCTGTATTCCTGCTACTAGATTTAAAATGTGACCAGTCTTCCTTACAGTGAAACATACATTTTAATTTTAATAACACCAGACCACAAAATCCTATTAGCAGGTAAGCATCTACACCTCCATGGAACTGCATCAGAAAGAAGCTGGGCTAGAAGATAAAGAGCAATACCTTGGAATTTAATGCACACTGTAGGGAAGTCTCTTTCATCCGGTTTTGAATTTCTGGATTTGCTCCATTTTGCAAAAGCACTTCTATGATCCCTTGATAGCCCCAGCGAGCAGCTATATGGAGAGGAGTATCTCCCTTCTCATTACCAATATCTAGTCTACAGGATTGCACATCATAGTAGACTAAAGCTTTGACGCACTGGAAAGAGAAGGAGAGCTATCAATAAATTACAGTATTGTCTCTCAATTCACATAATGTGCAATCCTAAAAAGGCTTTTTTCATTGCTGTTCATATAAGCCATTGGCTGAAATGCAAGGTTTTACAGTTCAGTGTCATTAAACAAAGAGGTAAATAAATCAGCTGCATTTGCACACTATTATCTTTTATGTGAATGCATAATAAAAATTGCTATGAACTACTGAATAATGTCCTAATTTACAGTGTTAAACAGTTAGCCTCCGAACGGTTTTTATTTACTTTTTTTTAATATGCAAGTTTAGTGCAAATTTGCATCACAGTTTAGCTCCGTTCCATTAGAATGCCCACTTAGTTTGTTAGAAAACAATTACTTACATCCTCATGAGCATAAGTGCAGGCTAAATGAAGTGGAGTATTTCCATTATTGTCCTGAACATCAGTACTTGCCTTATAGTGCAACAAGAGAAGCTTTAAGGAAAAATAAAAGTAGACATTTAAGTAAATAAAATATTAATGGACAAATAATTGCTGGTCTGTAGCTTCTGTTAGGGTTCTAGCATGATGAAGCACTTCATGAAAACTAGCTATGTCCCTCCTATTTCAGACACTACACTCTCAGCATTACAGTACTGGTTTTGCCCTACCCTAGGAACCAAATAAAACTGCTCCTTATATATTTAGAGTTGTCACTGAAAACAGAAATCACCTACTGCAGCAAACACTGCAATACATATACTACATGATAATTTATCCTGTATTTTAAGAGCCTGTGGAATTGATGACACAGCTTAATTTCAACAATGCTACCTGAAGAATCTCACATATATAAAATTCAAGTATATAATACTTAATGCAGTTATACATGCTATCATAATGTGTATTCACAATGTGAAATCATTTAATTTATTCCAATGACTGCAACAGTTCTTTTGCCTTAATCAAAAGCAGAGATGTTTATAGGCTCTCCATCTGAACTATGTATTAGAGATTTGTGTTAGTAAAATGCATGAATTATCAGATATGCACAGCTGTCCATTTCTTGGTTATCACAAATGGCTGAAAACTTTGCAGTATAGAAAAAAAAAATACCATGCCAACTACAATGACAAAAGACCATCAATTCTACAGCATGTGTGGTTCTGGTAAATTTCCCAGAAGACGTAGGTGACAGCAAGAGCAGAAGAGCTTAATAGGAGTCATATAGTTATTATTTAGGTTAAGCATTTCTTCTTATTTCTAATTAAGCCTTTTGGTGCTTACTGTAACATTTTGATATCCCTTCTGACAGGCAAGGTGAAGTGGAGTTGAACCGTGGTAATCTGTAGCATTGACAACAGCTCCTTTGGCTACTAGAAAATCCACTAATGATGTTTGCCCTTGAAAAATATGCAAACATTAAAACAAAGTAGTAAACAAGAACATTACTACTTTTAAAATTCAAACGTGAACTATAAACCAGGATATCCTGCATTTCTGTATAGTATGTTTACATATACCATAAATTGACTTCCTTGGTATTTGGGGGTTCTGTTGCAGATTATTCAAGGTCAAAACTCTACAAAAGAACCTCCAGCTAAAAGCAAGCTATGCTTTATTTTACAAGTTGGAAAAGAAGATAAAATAAAGCTGTATCACACAAAGCACTCTCCTATTGGGATTCAAGATAATAAGAAAGAAAATTATTTGTTAAAAAAAAAAAATCACTAAGAAAATTAACACATCTTTTAAAAAATGTAAGATTAATGGCATAATGACCATTACAAGACAGGAAGTGGTACAGATCTACCATACATAGCCAGATGAAGGAGAGAAAAAAGATCCATTTCTCAATCTCCCAGTTCTTTGAAACAAGTCTGGTTTCTGAAGACACATTTTTTCACAGCTAAATAAAGAGCTACCTTGGTAACTACTACAGCAAAAGTAAGCAGCCAGCAAACAAACAAACAGTAACTTAACCATAAGAAACTCAGTCTGAAAGAATATACAGTTACTCCAGTCTGTGCCAAGATACCAGTCTCCATAGCAAATAAGCAGAAAACAATTTAATGCAAAATTCACTATTTAATGCAAAGTTAGAAAACATGCTATCACAAAGATAAGGAACAATAAGGAGCAGAAAACACTAGTGAATATGACCAACAATACTCACCACAAATAGCAGCTATATGAAGTGGTGTATATCCCCGGTCATCTCGAGAAAATGCAGTGATAATGGAAGGATCATTCATTTTCCTTTAAAACACAATTTTTTTAAAAGCAGCTCAGTTACCTATGCAGCAGTGGTAAGGAGGAGAGAAATTGCCAAAACCCCCTGATTTTGGAAATTTTATCCTTTATCCTTTTACACTGGCAAATTATCTTACAGAGAGTTTCACATTTTGTTCTGAGATGCAGTTTTGTCTAAGATGTGTAAGTTAGGTTCAAGAGAAGAAACATTTTTACACCACATTTACCAAAGGACGTAGAGCCTCCATCGCAAAATTGATGGTTCCCAGGCATTCAGTATTCTCCTAGTCTTTCTTCTGCCTCTTCAAAGCACACAAACATACACCCTCTACTCTATTATGAAGTACTACCAACTTCCTCTATAACCAAGAACAGCATACATTTAAAACTAAATCTCAGACTAAGGCTTTTGCATAGCTTTTGTATATCTGTGGATATGAGAAGTGCTTACCCAGACACTAGCTTCTCACATTTGTCACAGTAACAGAGTGGATGACACATTTTCTGTACAGTGTCCTTATCACTGTCACCTTGACTTAGTAATCGCTCCACTTCCTCCTGATTACCTGAAGCAATATGCTATGAAAATCCAAGAGGAGAAAGAGAATGAGGAGCCAATATGAAAAAAAGTTTCCCTTTAAGGAAAAAAAAAACAAACCCCAAAAACAAACAAACAAAAAAAAAACCACAAAAAAAAAACCACAGAAAAAACAGAGTAATTTACTGAAGCACAAAATGAAAGGAACTGATTATAAAAGACATGTATTCAAGCATTAGGAAGCAAAAATGAACAATGTCACAGCACAAACCCCTCTAACGGGCATTCAGTATTAAAAAGAATCTGTTCTTGGCTTATTTCACTTTCTATAAAAAATTGAAACAATTTCTATTGTTCTCTTTAGACTCAGTCACGAAATTGAGTTCCCTCTGTGCAAAAACATTTCTATAAAATTAGCAAGTCTCTAGCCATAAGCTGTGAACACATATAATTAGAAGCTCTGCTTTGAGTCCTTGTAGAGGCAAAATTCTTTTAGAATGATGTGAGATTAACATATAATATGAAGTAGCTGTCAGGTGACCACATTTAGCTTATTTCAGAAAACTTAATTTCAAGCACTAAAAGCTGTGAGAGAGAACCTGACGGTAACATCACATCTGTGCATTAAATGGGCCCATCAATACCAATAGCATTTCATCCTCATTTGCTCTGTATTTTGTGTAACATGCTGAAATCTGTAATATTAACTTGGTAATATTTTGGCACAGAAATCCACTAAATTCAAAACAATGCTCTTAGCATCTCCGAAAACACACTTCACAGTACTAATGTAATTAACACTGCATTATATTTCAGAAAATCAGAGAAAGGAAGGGATATAAATACATACTTATTCTGCCACAAAAGTTACTAACCTTAAATAAGCAGTCTATTGGAGCAGCAGACATCTGGGACAAGTTCATCCTTTGTCTTAAAAGCAGCTTGTCACATAGTCTCTCAGATTCCTGAAAATAAAACATTCAGGTTGATTATCTATATACTCATTTACAGGCAAAAGTGAAGGACCTTAACAGTTGAATTAACTTTAAAAAAAATGAAACACTGTATTTACCACTTATGAATTATGAGATGCATGCAAAACCTAAATCACTTTCACATTTAGGATTCTGAGACTGAAAAACTGCACACCTGCTGTTCAAAGAAATACGTAGATGTTCATCAGAATATTTCTTTACTGGAGCATTAATAAAATTATGACTGCAGCAGGTAAGAAAGAACATGGCAAAACAAGAAAAGACATAAAAAAGACAACAAGAACGAAAAAAGGTGCAATGAAGCTTTCTTGTAAGGAGAAATTAAGATTCTTCATCCTGGAAAAGATTCACCTGTGCTACAGTGGTCTAGAAAAAATCACAAGTCCAAACAAAACATGCAAAGAATGAGTATTTGCTATTCCTCAAGAGATAAGAACTAGGGTGCCCAACAAAAGCATCACACATTAGGTCAGGGGAGGGAGTAAGGAAAAGAGAAAAGAAAAGTATTCTCTTATTGTGGAACTCATGTCTACTGGATGCTGCAAAAATCAAAAGCATAAATGGACTCAAAGAGGCACTAGACAAATTCACATAAGACACATCGACTGGTGCCTATGACGAGAGATGACACAGATACAACTCTCACCCAAAGACCCCACTGAACTCTCTGCCTGCTGGGAAATAAAAAACTGCACCAGGTGAAGCATTACTCTGCTGTAGACTCATTCACAGAGTGTTTCTCACTGGTCACTTCTTGACAATCAGAGACTGAACTAAGATGACATGTAACTCTACTCTCACAGTACTTCCCAATTCCTGAGAAATCTGAAGAATTCAGAATGCACCAAAGAACACAAACATTTCCAAAACCAGGTGAAAATTCTTAAGTGTGACTCAAAATCTGAAATGGCAACATTGAGCCTCATGTGAAATAAAATAATAAAGAAAATACCTTCTAAGAAAGTAGATGGAAACACTTGCAGGTTTTTGATTCTGATCAAGCAGTCCTTAGGGTTGGCAGTGAATATCATTTCTATGGATGTTAGTTTTGGATAACAACTATTTCCCTACAAATGGAAAGCATGCACCAAACTGAAGACCACATGTGTCAGATAAACTTTACTGGTTTAGGATCCAGGCTATAACTTCTGTGGTAGAGACCAGATGGAAATGAGTAAAAGAAGTCCAACTCTGCTCTCAATTTTCCTAAGTCAGCATGAAGCTTAAGAAACTAGTGAACTGCAAATAAAGATGATCACTTGAATACCAAAAATAAAGAGTTGACATTTTCTAGGAATTAGATCACTTAAGCTTGAAAATCAACACAGATGCCTCTGATAAAGCTGACTAAAAGATCCTTCATTGTATAGAAAATGATGTCATTAAAAACATGTTTATGAAATCTAGAGATAAAAGATTACATCGGTATACTTCACACTCAGTTGTTTGTATTTAGGTACTCAAAGATAACAATCTTTTCAAACCCAAGTACTTTAGCTAAAGATATCCAAGCATATCTTTTCAGAATTACAAGGCACATAACACTAGTCTCCTTGGATCAATTCTTCAGTGTGATCCAGAGTAAATTCCCTAAAAATATTTAATAAAAAATTGTAACTAGAGAAAAAAAAATGTTAAAGCCTTACTGCTAATATAAGTTTCTGAAGTCTAATTGGAATTTCTAATATGAATGCTCACAGACAGCTTTATAGTTGCACTACGAAGAATCTAAGTAACCACTAGGAGGACCTACTGTAGTTTTTGCACTGTTCTTTCCTCTGTATCTTTTACAAAAGAAGTGGAATAATTATTTGTCACTTGAGACAGCAATCCTTATGTAGAGGTATTATCTATTCTGCAACTGAGAAAAAAGAGGCCATCCCACAGTGAAACTGTGTATCTTTGAAATTGAATAAGAATGGCATAAGCATCATGTGTTGGCTGAAGTATTAAGTTTGGGCCTTCAATGATAAAACTTGCTTGAGCTTCAGTTCCAGGAATTAAAAATCCCCATGCTTTGAGTGGAACTTTCAGGCATTTTAAATATATATCATCTAGAAACACACATCAAAACATTAATGGTCTTATCTGACACTGCTCTCCATACTAAAGAAATTAAATATTTATACCTATGAAAGTGCACCTGTATAATGGCCTGTCCAAGGCGACTTTCACAGATTACAACTGATGACTTGGGGAAATTACCTCCACACACACCCCCAGGCAAACACTTTATTAACCTCAGTTCCTGCTCAAGTCTTCCTTTCCCCGCTTCTCCCAGCTTCCCAGTTCCTCCATACCTACTTCATTGCCACCCACAGCTCTTTGCATACAAGATCCAAAATGCTACTTATTCCCTAGCAGCTAATACAGCTCCCTACTTTATATCTAACTTCAAACCTCTGAACTAGAGGGTTTTACGGCACGCTAGCTGTGCATAGCAACATAACTAAGGCCCAATACTTGTTAACTAGAATTCTAATAAGGATGACAACTCCCAGAAAATAAAATATAATTTTTCTGTGCTATCAGTTTCCTCCTCCTCTCCTCCCCACAACCAAAATGTCACCCCAAGGCCTATATGACCTTGGGTGAAGAAATTTGGCAAGCAGCTCCTACATGCAATCTTCTTACTGACATGAGGGTGATAATATGCCCATTATCCCACATGGTACATTAGTTCCCTGCTGAGTTTTCTTTATGTAGTTAGCTTCATTAGGGATTGGACAACAGCATTACTCAGCTGCCAGAAGCTCCATCTGAAGCCAGCTATAAAATTAAGTGTAGCCACATGAGGGGCTGTAATGAAGCCCCAGGGCACAGCAATGTTCCTGCTCACTTAAATCCCACAGCCGTTTCCAGCACCATCTGGAAAAAGAAAGCATGGGGCATGAACACAATGGCTCCTGCCGTTTTAAACAGGAAGCTGAGCTCCTCTACCAGAGACTAAACATTAAAATATCCTAAAGGGAAAGCAATGCTGTTGGAAGTTCCTATGATGCTCCTCTACCTCCTCAACTATTGGAAGTTCCTATCACATTCTTCCGTCTCCTCAACACCCTTCCTGCCAAGGGGCTATTTCTTCCTCTTTATTGAGTGCCATCTTCTCATCCCTTACCCTACATTAGAGAAGAGGGTGGTCTAACTCTTTCCTTTTCAGCTGTGCTCGTGGGAAGGGTCAGTGGTCACCCAATTCCTTGTCTTCAACACCCTGCTGTTTTCTACCTCTTGCCAGGGTGCTACCTCCAAGTCATGCTGAGTCTTACGAATGGCAGCTTATAAGTAAGGAGCTCCTGTTGCATGCTCACTGTACATACATTGAAGTGAGGAAGTTAGAAACTAGCACTTGAGGTCTGGAGCTGATGCAGCTGATTTATGTATGAGACTGCCTTCGTTTAGACTTCTGAACTACATAGTTCATCTTTCAGGAGAGATACTTTATTATTTCTTTGGGAGGTACCTTAATGGAATTGACACTCATTATAAGCACCTGGGGGCAATCCCAATATAAAATACTTAGCTACATAAGGAGATAGGACCATGCATTTAATAGAAGGCAGTCTTTATTCCAGAATTTTAAGAGCAGTATATTTTTTTCCCAGCTTTCTAGAACTGTTGAAGCCAGTTGTACTTTGGTTTCAGTTCTCCATCCAGACCACCAGCATTGCAATTCGCATACTGACTGTTCAGGACAGCTATGTGACTGCAGGAAGCAAAACTGATTGGCAGGGTTATTTTTTTTAGCTGACATTTATTTCTTAAACATCATTCAATACAGCATTACAGACAAAAATACAACAGTCTCTTTACACAGAAGAGCCTCTTTTTTTTTTTTTTTAATGTACTGTCCTGGGTTCAGCAGTAGCAGTCATGTTTCTCCTTCTTGGTAGCTGGTGTAGTGCAGTGTTTTGACTTTCGGCTCGGGAACAGAGCTAACAGCAATGTTTTGGTTTGGCCAAGGACTTTGTGAGCCTCATGCTCTGCCAGGGAGGAGGGGGAGCCAGGAGGAAGCAGAGAAAGGACACCTGACCCAAACTGACCAAAGAGGTATTCCATACCACATCACATCATGCCCAGGATGTAACTGGGAGTGAGCCGGAAGGGCTGGGAGACTGCAGGGTTGGAGGAGGTATCGGTCAGAGCTTGGTCGGGCTGGAGGGGCGAGTTATCGGTCGGCTGGTGGTGAGATGATGTATTCTCTTCCCTTGTTATTTCCTTTATCATTATTATCATTGGTGGTAGCAGTAGTGATTTGTGTTATACCTTAGTTACTAAACTGTTCTTATCTCAACCCGTGGGAGTTGCATTCTTTTCGATTCTCCTCTCCGTCCCTCCGAGAGCAGGGGGAGGGCAAGAAAAGGGGGGGAAGTGAGCAAACGAGTTACCTGACTGGGTTTAAACCACGACAGTTCTTTTTGGCGCCCAACGTGGGGCACGAAGGGTTGAGATAACGACAGATCTGACCAGATTAATAGTCACTCGTCACGATGCTGATTTATTGGCTCTCAAGAGTTTTTCTTCTTGATCTCACAGCTTCAGAATGTTGTAACTTACGTAGAGCCGGTATTTGCTGTGTTAGTGTTTATCAAATGTGGGGCCTGGGCTAAGGTTCTTGTCTCACTGTGCTTTATGGCAATGGCTTGTAATACGGGCGGGCTCCAGCAGCAGGGCGGGACGGACGTGGCCGTGCACTTGTACGTGGCCGTCCGGCTGCTCTTCACCGTCCTGGCCCTCACCCTACTCTCCATCCTCGTGAGGCTGCGGGGAGCCGAGGGGGAGCGGCCCCGGGAGCCGGCGGCAGCCGAACCGGCCCGGGAGAGCGGCCCCGGGGACCAAGCGGCGGCGGGAGCGGGGCCGGAGGCCGCGAGGGGACGGCTGCCGGTGGAGGAGGTCGGGGCGGTCGAGGAGCAGAAGGAAGGGGCTGCCGAGCAGCGGGAGAAGGCGGCGGAGGAGCCGAGCCCCACGGCCGAGTCGAGCCCCGCGGCCGAGCCCAGCCCCGCGACGGCCGAGAGCATTTCCCGGAAGCCGCCCGCCGAGCCCCAGGAGGATGCAGGAGACCAGGTAGCATTTTCCAGCAAGGCAGAGGAGGAAGGTCTGGACTCAGGAAAAGAGAAGCTGGCGGTGGGAGAGCCGGCAAGCACAGCAGCTACACCAGCCCCAGTGACAAGTACAGCAGCTACACCAGCCCCAGTGACAAGTACAGCAGCATCAACTGAGAGTTCTGGAGGTTTTGAATGGCCTTTGGGTATCCTTGGGACCTGCCTGCTGATCGTGATGGGGATCAGCATGTTGGCACACACACAGGCTGTGTTCTACCCACAACCACTTTGTCTGATCTCAGAAGTTAAGCAGAGTCAGGTTTGGGTCTTGTCTGCAGTTAGACAACAATATAGGAGGACCAAGAGGTTTCCTCCAAGGCTGGACCGTCATGAGTGGCAGGGTGTGTGTGACAGTATGGGCAAGTATCTAGTCCACTGGGCCCCTCCAGTGCTTTGGAAGCATCAGAGATGGAAGGCAGCTGTGTGGAGTCCCCAGCAACAAGCTGCAGAAACTGCTTAAGGGGACAGTGAATTATTTTGAGCCTGGTGGGCCCATGGCACTTCAGGCCATCAGAGCAGAGATGCAACATAGAGATGGACTCATGATCGAGGGGTGGACTTAGCAATGGACACTATTGCCCAGGTTATTCACAAGCGTGAACACTGCACACAGTCTCTGCTGCTCTGGAAGACTGTTACAAGAGATGGAGCCTGACATCATGGACCAGATGGACGCAGCAGCTTTATAGCTACTGGTCCATGCACTTAGGTAAGAGTGGGATCTGAGCATGACGTGAATGGTATGGAATAAGGGGTGGATAATGTCCTGGGTTCAGCAGTAGCAGTCATGTTTCTCCTTCTTGGTAGCTGGTGTAGTGCAGTGTTTTGACTTTCGGCTCGGGAACAGAGCTGACAGCAATGTTTTGGTTTGGCCAAGGACTTTGTGAGCCTCATGCTCTGCCAGGGAGGAGGGGGAGCCAGGAGGAAGCAGAGAAAGGACACCTGACCCAAACTGACCAAAGAGGTATTCCATACCACATCACATCATGCCCAGGATGTAACTGGGAGTTAGCCGGAAGGGCTGGGAGACTGCAGGGTTGGAGGAGGTATCGGTCAGAGCTTGGTCGGGCTGGGGGGGCGAGTTATCGGTCGGCTGGTGGTGAGATGATGTATTCTCTTCCCTTGTTATTTCCTTTATCATTATTATCATTGGTGGTAGCAGTAGTGATTTGTGTTATACCTTAGTTACTAAACTGTTCTTATCTCAACCCATGGGAGTTGCATTCTTTTCTATTCTCCTCTCCGTCCCTCCGAGAGCAGGGGGAGGGCAAGAAAAGGGGGGGAAGTGAGCGAACGAGTTACCTGACTGGGTTTAAACCACGAATATGTACAAAACCCCATTCGTAACAGGTTCATGGAAAGAGCCCAGGAGAGAACAAACCCCAAAATTACAAAAAGGCTAAATTACTTTAAGTGCTCCTTCTTTTAAGATTGTGCCCCAGGCCATCAAATCCCAAGCCCTGAGCACTGAGCCATTATTCTGGCCCCTACAATTAGATTCCAGTGCTTTGCAGCTGGGCAGACCAATACACATCAAATTTATTCTGGTTTCAAGTTCACTCCCAATTTCCACATCAGATCAGGAAAACCTAATTTTGCAGTAGTAGAAAGTTTTACAGCCATAAGACTAGATTCCTTTAATAAATTACAAAGTTCTTGAATCACAGAAGTTTCTGAAGTTATATCGATATCATCCTTGATTGGCCTGCAGGGATTTGACCTGATTGACAGAAGGTCTAGTTGCCCAGTAGGAAATAACTCATGAATCCACAAACTTCCTCCTCCTGGTTGGTTAGAGATCCCAAGAGCCATATTTGACCTTCAAACGTCACCTTATGGTTCTGCACTCACATCAAATTATCCACTTAGTGCAACACAGTAAGTGCACTGCAAAGACATAGAGGTTTTAGAGTAGGAAGATTTACTGAGTAATTCTAAATTACACTGCTATCTCCATTCTGCTAGCATAGCTATGCTTTTTGAAATTATTAAAGAAAAGCATGTTTAAGCTATGCCTGATCTCAGGTACCACGCTGCTTTTACACGACAGAAAGAGTACAAATGTGAGATAATAAGCTTACAAAAGACTCAGCTGTTGAAAACAGTGCTGTGATGTCTCCTCTACTTACATGAAGAGGCAGACAACATTTAAGTGCTTCCTCAAGGAGCATACCATGAACAGTAATTATTGCTAAATGATTAGGACTTCACAGTAATAACTTAGATTATTTTAGTGTTTGCTTCAGGTATAGTTACCTCAGTTTAGTTTAAGTGCAAAAAAGGAACTCATCTTAGCTGTTTGTACCCCCTGACTGGATTTATGCCTACAAGCTTAACAAACACATATTTGACAGACATTAAGAGCAGCTTACTGTTGATCTGTCAGAGAGGTTGCCTTGTCGTATGTATTCTATTGCAGCCTCAATTGAGGTTAGACAGTATCCCAATTCATCCTTCACTGAGCTGCAAAGCCCGAAGTTCTTTATGTAACTCAAGTTGGCCATCCTGAAATAAAAGTTAGTAAGATACTAGCATTACACACTGCAACTCATCTTCAGCAATCCAGACAGACAATAGGTGTGGGTTAAGAAAAAGCTTCTAGAAAGATTGTTAGGCTAGCAATACAATAGCTGTTCTAAGCTTTGCAGATGGATCAGAATACTACTTATCTCTTAACTTTTAATTGAATAGTTATTAATTAGACATAAAGAATATAAAGGACAGCATAAGAACAGTAGTGAGAGATTATTTCACACATTTCAAACAAGTGAGTATTTCAAGTATTGTAAGTCCCAGTATAAAGTGATAGCTAGAAATTAAGGGAAAAATGCTTGAGATATGGGATATACCAACACTAAAATTCAGTTCAGGTACAGGTGAAACCTGTATAGACATACTTTTACTGATAAGCAAGGAGAGTTAAACATAATGGCACAGGCTAGCAGAAGCCATTAAGCATTCAAGTTTCTCTATATGAAATGTCTTGAAGCTTCATAAAAGGTTTCACAGCTAAAAGTATAGACAAGGAAGGACCAGTCTGTGAAGTCTACATTCACATGCTGATTTTGTAGAGGACATGGCCTTCTGTTACAGTATTTTTTTAGGTGGCAATCAGAACAGCAAGATGCAGCACATTAATTCCTGACAGGTCCTCAATTTGGTCACACCTGTAATACATCTTCACTGTTTGTCCTACTTAAAATAGTTCTCTGCATTATATCAGCCCCTCTTCACCTCCAGTAAGTTCCATCACTACCTATTCAGTAACATTTGCCGCTACTGCAGCATTACACATAAAATATGATCAAGTTCTGTATAGCCAAAATAGTTACATACCAGTTTGGGATTTCTGTTTTTACAAGCAAATACAGCAAAACAGAGAGTAGATCATCGGCACACATGGTTTCCACATTAACTAAAAAAAAGAATTAATATCTAATGTTAGTCATGTCATGGCTCAAATAAACAGCAATACATACAAACGGGGTTCCACCTCCCTAGAACAAGGGCCAGTTCTATTAGTAGAATGCACTGAGCAACCAAGGCAGCCTTTCAAATGTTCTCCACCTCCCTCTAAAATAGGTTGCCAGACGCCAAAAAACAAATATAGTTTGCATTGTACAAATTGCAATGTTTGATTAGCATCCCCTCTTTCCTATACACGAAGAGCCAGAGCACTAGCTCCAGATTTCTGAAATTCCTGGAGGAATAAAAATAAATTAAAAAAAATCCAAAAAATACACCACCCCCACTCCCCAAAAAAAAAACACCAACCACACACCCCACACATAAAAACACCACCAAAAAAACCCTACCCTCAAAGTTGATACACTTCTCTAGGAAGACTCCTGGGTCATGGAAAAAGGAAAAGATGATGTAGGGAAAGCCTAAGTTTGTTGTACTACTCCATTTGCTTAGTGGAAGTATCTTCTCTCTCCAGACTAGATAAAATACCAGATTAAGAGGGCCATGCTTTCCTATCACAGAATAATTTCTGTAATCTATGGTAGCACTTTGAATGCAGCATATAGAAAGTCTGTTGTCCCCTACCAGCACTGCATTTTGCAAAAAATGCATCCGACAAGCATCCGTTTCAAGATTACCAAGAAGCATGGACAAGCAGGCAAGAATGATGAAGCAGCAATCAGTGGCGTTTAAAATGGATCACCCTCAATTCTTATGCATGAGAAAAAATCCTACCACATGCAAAAAGCTTGCATGCTCTAAGGAAAAAAAAATATTATATATATATAATATTTATATATATATTATATATATATATAATAGCTTATATATATATATAAGCTAACCAAGTACCTCTCCTCACCCAATGAGAAACACAGAAGTACAGAAGTATCTATCTTGTCTCTGTTTTGCTTTGTTTAGAGATCTGCAAGGCACACCCCAGCCTAATTGTGTTTAGTCCACAAATGCTATTCAAACAGCTGTTTATATAGCAAAGTGCTTTGTGCATATGAGTTAAGAAAAGGTTTTAAATTAAATTATTAATTCACTAATTACTAACCTCTTTGGCTAGGAGATTGCATAATAATTTGTACCACCTTTTGTAGACAAAGTAGTTTCTGCTGAGGGGAAGTACATTTGTTTAATTGACTCAGTTCTTGCTTTGCACGTGGTATATTAAAGCTACAAAATAATTTGAAATAAATGGTTAGCATACAGAGCTCCTGTGCAGGGTGTTCAAAACCAAAGTTTTAACTTATTCAGAGCTGAAATGAAGAACTGTATTAAAGTATTTCCATCTATACTCCAAGTACACTTGCATTTCTGTACCCTGTAGATGCAGAGGGAAGCATGAAAACATAAAAGCAAAGGAAATAACCAGGAATACAAAGACTGTCCTAAAATGACACTTTTTTTACTTTTCCATCTCAAATGAATGAAGTATAAGTAAGACTTGCTATTGTCTGAAGGCAGACGCTTTTTGGATGTCTTGACAGGATCCCAGTGACTCCTCAAAGAATCCACAATCATTTCTCTCACCTGAACTCCGGCTTCACTCCGATGTCTTTTTGCTGCAGGTCTTGAAAGCTCCTTGTAATTTTGTTAAATGCAGCATCCTAAGCAACAGAAAGGCAACAGTTTTTAAAATGCATTAGATTAGTTACATTAATCTTCACAAATCAAGCAAACTTACCTCACTTGCCTCTATAGTCCCCACATATTTAAAGACTAGATCATATATTGCATGGTGGATATACATCTGCAGAAAAAACAGTACTTTAGGCATGAAGGGAAGAGTTAAAAACAGCTTCTTAATTGTTTTCCTTCATTTCAGATGCTTACTTCAACAGCTTGTTTAATCAGATTCATCTGCTCTTCTTGCTTTGCAAGCACCTTCTAGAGAAAGAAAGCCATACAAACACAAAGTTAGATAATTTATTGCTTAAGTAACACTACATACTATGTATTTACTGCAGTAAGTGTTTACCAAGTGAGAATCTCTCAAAAGCTGCTGGAGACATTTGGTATAAAGTGCGCTGACAGAATCCTGGGGAGAGAGGAAAAGAAGCAGTCAGATTCAGGTTAATCTGACTTGCAGCAACAAAGCAGGCAAATAAGCAAAAGAAGCAGTCTTTCCTGCCTTAGAAGTGTGAATTATGGTAAGATTTTCAGCTAGCAAAAACTGCCTTTACCTAGTAGTTAAGATGCAGTAATTTGCAAGTAACTGTTTCTCCCTTCCCACTAGCTCTCAACTCTAGCTCACTTTGATACAGAAAATAAGAAAGACACCCAAAGCAGTGAATTATGTTTAGCAAATTAAATATCAAGAAGCAAGATACTGACTATGTAGTGGCGGAGACTTTTTCTTTCATGTTCTTTAAACGTTCTATGGAAAGATCCTATGTATTTATCAAATCTCTCACAGTGCCTTCCCAAGAATTCTCTAACATCTTCAATACTTTTAAGAGAAAAGGAGTTTGACAAAACTGTAGATTCACCTAGAATGAAAGCCAAGAATTAACATGTAGGCTTAATACACATGCATGGTAAAGTACTTTCTGTCCCAACATACAGAGCCAACTTGCATGCAATGAAACACTAATTCACCTTACTACACCTTTAACTGAAGGCACCGCTCTAATTAAAAGAATTTAATGCATCACATTTAGAGTAGGCTCTCTTGCCTTTTATGTCAAATATTTATTCGGAACACCTAAAACTGATTCCATATGCTTTTTTACAATGGGGTAATTTATTGCCACATACACAACCCAATCTGAGCATGAGTCAAGCCTGAATGCAGAGGAAAAGTACATTATGGAAATGACTGAATGCCCATGTAGGAAGTCAGTCTGCTGTAACTGAGCTGTAAGAAATCCTATCTTGGATTTTCACATAATATATTCTTTATTAAGAAATGCTGTCTCTGAATGGGAGAGCAAAGTTGCTTCATGTAAACATTACACCAAATCCATTTTCCTTCTGAATAAGACAATTGGATCCCTCACTTAAAATTCATACGGCTTCTCCAGAAATTTTTTTCTAGGCAAGTCTTTCATTTGCAGTCAAAGGCAGGCAACTAATAACAGGCTTAGATCTCATTCATTCCAAATTACTTCTGGAATTACAAATTATCTCGCTTCTGAAGGACTGCTAAACAAGTACATTAAGTAATGGCCAAATATAGAATGCCAAAAAATTTTTTTTAGATTTAGATTAATATTTATAGAATTGAAGCATGTATGTATGCAGACCAGAACCACAAGAACTGTTATATAAATGTGCTACACAGCCTCTAACCACTGATGAAGCGATCATGGAAGAATTTACCTCTCCATTTTCTTGTGCATCCACCTTGCATTTCAAGATGCAGCATCTCAAGACACATGTCACATGGAAGACTAAACCCCTTTAAGCAAACAAAACTAAAAAGAGCATTGCTAAGGAAATCATGCTGGATCACATATTCCACAGATGACTTTTAGTGCTGAGTGGGGCATAGACCCTACAGAATTAAGTTTGCCTGGAAGCAACTTAATATTTCTCTCCAGGAGGCTAATAAATGCCAACAGCTTTCAACCAAGCCAAAGTTTTCCAGAATGAAGTTAAGTGTATCAAACATACTAATTTGCTCACTGTGCAAACAAGACCACCAAGTTAACACTTCAGTACATACTTGAGCTTTCTGTTTTTTCCAATGGATGAGCTATGCACAATATACTAAAGCTTTCTTCTTTGTCATTGTAAAATGTTTCCTCAAAAAGAACAGGTACCGAGAGACTGTACTTAAAACCAGTTCCTAAAATGATGAGTTTTCCTTGTATGAATATCTCCTGAAACAAAACAGAAACCAGATCCAAATGTAGAATTCCACCAGAAGAAAGTTATAATTTGTCTTCTGCATTGCAGTTACATTTCGGGGGGGGGGGGGGGGGAGGGGGGAGAGAATCTTGCAAGAAAAAGAAGCTCCAGATTGAAGAGATTTCATATTCTCATGCTCTGCAGACACTGAAACAAAGACTCCTTTAGTCTACAATGGCTAAACCTTACTCATACCTACTTTCTTCACAAGTCTGCTACTAGAGGAGGTTTCAGAGTTTGCAGATTTTTACAACACTTTTAGTAGAAGGGAAGGGACCTTGAAAAAGAACTCAGAATTGGGGACTAAGTCCAGCTTCAGAAAAATACTACCCATCTTGTCTACATTTCTCCAGCTCAGCTTTAACTTCTCAAGCAACTCCAGTAAGGACACCTGCAGTAGGAAGATCTAGATGATAGCCTGCAAACGGGTGCAACGTCTCAGACTGCACTGAAAAAAGTGATCCCATGCAGTGCTACAACTGGTTATTATGGCTTGCTGCTACATTAATCTCTGCTTATTGAACTGAATACATCAGACCTCAGATACAACTCAATACCATCGTTTTGTCCGCATCTGCAAAAATAGGCAGCCTATTTGCCTGAAACTCAGAAACAGTGATACTAAGTGATAAAGTGATCTAAGTGTTAAAGGCCCTTGTGCCACATACCTGAATACCTAACGGCCACAGAACACAAACTGACAAACTGGAACAGTAAGCAGAAACAAGAGGCAGTGTTACCATCTAAACAGGACAACTATTCTTGTGTACATGCCAAAACGCAGCTTTTCCTAGAAAGCAGTACCTCCCTGAGAACTTAGGCTTAGATGGGCAACATACTGCTTTCATGAGTTAGCTTTAACTCCTAGCTACCTCTGCTCACACTATCCATCACCAACGGCAGTGAATCATTTATTTTACTGTCCCCAGGCTACATTCAGACATCAAAACAGAAATACCTTTCCATTTAAGGTTTGAAAATTGTCTTCTAGCGGCTTCAGAACATAAGATTCAAACTGGCAGGTAGACAGACTGTTGCTTGAAAGGCTTCCTTGGCATGGAACTAACACCTAAAAAAAAAAAAAGGTTAGACCACGTGTTACAAAGAAATGCCACGTAACACCAGCTAAACACCAACAGCTTTTTCCTTTCAGAGGCAAGCAATTAAATCTGGCTTATAAACAATTACCAGCAAATATAAGCACTTCTTTTTAAGTAATAAAAAGGAAAGGTAGTTGATAGACACACACAATCTGGTGGTTAACCTAGCAGTTTCATTTAGTGACTTAACTGAAAAAGGACGATACATGTAACTGAAGCAAGCAATAGTAAGAGCAGATGAAATCTTAAATTACAGCACCAGTCACCTGGATGACTTAAAATAAGGTAGTTAGCAAAAGTGAAGTACATTTTCAAGCTAAAATGAAATTCCATCATAATGAAGAAAACAAAAATTAAGATAAGAAGCATCTTGGCTTTACTGCACACCAACAGATTGGCAGTTCGTGAAAAATCCTTAATCAGAAAGCAACACATTATGACTACATAAACACTGTACACACAGTGAAGAGACATGTTTCATTCTCAAGAGAAGCACGAATCAAGTAGTGCTTTCACTACTCAGCAGCTTTCAGAAATAGTGAAGTGCTAGACCATAGACAGAACTGGTCAACAGATTGTAGCATTTCAGCTGATCACATCACCATGTCAAGTAATACACAAGTGAAAGAACACCATGTTAAGTAATACACCAGTGAAAGAACCCTGTGTAATTTCGGGCTTAATTTTATAATCAGGTAACAATGACCTCCACGTTACATGGAGTCTCCACACGCTTAATTCTGAATGAAGATTAACTGCAGAGTACCCAGATTAGAAATCTTAAGGGTGGAGCTTTTATTCCGGCTCAGTTTCATGGCTGTATTTTGCTATATAAAACGCTGTCAAAAATGAGTGATTGCCTGTCCACCAGGAATTTCAAAAGGTCAATATCATTTTAAGTTACAAATGAAAGATATGCAACTTTAGTTCACAGCAAAGAAAATGAGCTTCCTGTAGTTCAGGAACAACACCAACTTTGACCTTTTATTACCATGCAATATATCAAGACATCCATATTAGTAAATAACAAGCAACTTAAAAGTTGCTCTACCTCACTTCCCAGTTTTGTAGGCTTTCACTGATCTTTACATGTGTCATAGCAGGCATATGATTTTAATTCCTATGGCTGCTATTTAACATCAGCCTTTAAATCTACTGATTTATACTTACAATACCACGGAATTCTGCAACTTTGCTGAATAGATCAGGACGTTGCTTCTGAATGGCTAAATAAAATGGATTTTTCAAGATATCTTCATCATACATTGCCATATAGACTTCAGATATTCCAAGGAGATTTTCTAAAATATACATGAAGAATGGTTAGCATGTCATACATACTATCTGTTAAAACATACTATTTATGAATACCTAGAGGGCAGTTCAATTTCCCTTGTTTAAAAGCAAAAAGGAGGTTCAGGTCTCAAGCAAACAGTCAATGGTATGCTTAACTAATAAGACACTCAGAAGTTATTCAGATATATTATTTTCCATGAATATGCATTTCCAATTACATAGTTATCCTCATAGTATCTCCTTGAGCCTTCCAATTGTTGGAGTCTAACAATGCATGATACGGTTGCACTAAACTTGAAAGAATTTAGGATTACATTGCTACCATTTTGATAGAGAAGCTAACTTGCACTGTCAAGATCTAAAACAAGCCAAGAGACACAAACTAACATCTTCTTTACAGGAGACTCTACTGCATCACAGGACATTGATGCTTTTGTAGTACACTCATGTAAGTCTTAAGACTCACCTGTGTAAGGATTACTAACTTACATACCTCAGTGAGACACCCAGATAGTTTAACAGGAACTCTTGTGTAATGCAATCCTCAACTTTCCAGGGAAAGTTATAGGAGAGAGGTACACCGAGAAGGTATAAATATCCATGTCATAATTAAAATGCCACTGTTAAATGCATCATCTGTGGTAATCTCTGCTCACACAGAAAAATTTTTGAATGGTCTGAGATAGGGCTGATGCATAACATTTGGCAAAACAGAGAGCAAAATAGCGACTGCAAACAGAAAACTCAACTTGTAAGCATTGGAAAAGCTATCACTAGGTATGTCACAGGGAAAAGATGATCTCTAGACCCTCGACTGCTTGCTTCCTCAGAATTAATCCAAGACACAACAGAAGGAAAAACCCAAATAGGTACCTCCTGGAATAACTAATTATTTTATTCAGAATAATTGAGATTAACAGGCTTACAAGTGTTTAAGTAATTCTTTTGTTCCGTGTCTTTCCCCCTTATCCAGCTTCCCTTAGGAATCAACATGAGTTGCATATCCTCATGCAATTTTTGCTGTACACCGCAGGAAAGGGTGAGAACAACAGCAGGACTTTCAGCAAGCCATCCTTACACAATCAGCACCCTCTTGTTTTCCTAAATATAGAATTATACCTAGCACATTATTTACTCAGTGCGAGCTCCTTACACTTGTTCTGTAGTATTTTAATATCTTACTACTTAATGCTGTACTGGTGCTAAAAAATGCCTTTCTCTGTAGATCATGGAAGAGACGCGAAACCACTGTACGGCAGTTTAAGAGTGGAATAACATACACCCAACTTCTACAGATTTTTAGATAGCCTTTGAGTTTCAGCTATACCATTAACTGATCTACAGTCTGTTAACTGATTTGCTCTCCATTCCCTCCTTATAACTAGGCACAAGGAGAACTCTGTAAGGGAGCTAAACACAAAATGATCAGTTAAAGTTACAAGCAATTTCCACTATGAGGTGGTCACCAGTTACAACTTGGGCAACCTTACCCTGAACCACTCAAGTTTGGCAGAAGCAGATAACTGCCTCAAGCAGAGTACTTCTCTCAAGTTCCAGATAAAATGGTGCATCCACTTACAAGATTTCTTTTTGGCTGTGAACTGAGAGAGGGTAGAGTTAGATATTAGGAGGAAATTCTTTCCTGTGAGGGCAGTGAGGCGCTGGCACAGGCTGGCCTTAGAAGCTGTGGCTGCCCCATCCCTGGAAGTGTTCAAGGCCAGGTTGGGTGGGGCTTGGAGCGACCTGCTCTAGTGGAAGATGTCCCTGACCATGGCAGGGGGTTGGAACTGGATGAGCTCTAAGGCCCCTTCCAACCCAAACCAATCTGTGATTCTATGATCTGCCCTACCGCAGTGCCCAAGCAGACAGCATGATCACCAATAATTCCACAGCTGATGACTGCTATAAACATTTCCTGGCAGGCAGCTGCAATCCAAGTTCAAGCTGTGAGCCTCCTCAGCCTGTGGTGGGGGATAGGAGAAAAGTCAACACCAGCCCAGGGGCACATCTGCTGGAAGAACAGGTTTCTCAGTTATTCCTAGAACATCAGGGCTAAGACAGACCTTAGTAAGCAGGATTATTTAGCTACAAATAAAAACGCCTGCTGAACAGCTGGCTAGGCAGCAATTCCAAGTAAAATCTTAAATGACTGCAGCTTACAGTCTAAACATGAATCAGTGATGATTTATACATAATAAGTACTCTACATACACACATGTGCAGCCTGCAAGAGTCTGACACAGCAAGACTTACTTTGGAGTCCTACATCCTTTTCTGTGTGCTACACTTCAGAGGAAATGAACTGAGCAAGGAGAATCAGAAGTGAGAAAGGCAAGAAAGCCCTAGAAGCAGGATCCAAACTTGAAATGCACTGATATTGTTCACACTGAAGAAACTGCATGAAACAGGTCAGATTTTTTTCCCCAAGCACTTAGTGAAGGGTTGAAGATTTTTCTATATCTGTAGAAGAAATAGGCCTTAGCTGAAGAAAACAGGAATACCTTTCAAAAGAGAACATAAAAAACACATTTTAGATTGCTTAGCAGGGCTATCAAGTCTCTCATGTTATAAATAAGAACCTGTTAAACAAATCTCTACTAGAGGAGATAATAGACTCCTAGTAAAGCTAGGAGGCTAGTTTATATGGTCTCTTAAGGCATTTTCCAAAAGAAGGGGTTTTTATTGTAGTTGTCCCATTGAGGCATCATCATCTGCCTTTTTCTTTGGTGAATTCATGTTCAGTATCTGGTCAAGCAGTAGATGAGACTGTCACTTCAAGAGAAAGATGGAGAAGGTATCAGCGTACTGTGTACTGTGTCAAGGAAAAGAGCACATTGACACAAGACACATTGAAACAATAATCAAGCATCATACTGCAGAGACAACCTCAGTGCACAAGTGCTTCCAATTGCTGTTACTGTACTACTCTCAGTTTAACAAAGGTAAGTCCAGGAAGTTCTTCCTTAATAGAAAGGGAAAGAAAATAACATATTCCACAAAAAAAAAAAATCCTCATCTGGAAACCCATAGCTGACCATCAGAAAGAAATAAACAACAGATAAGCTTTGTCCAGAAAGGAATTAAAAACATTTCATTCACTGGCAAAACAGGTAGAGATATTTATGGGACGAGGAGAGCTCCCAGAGAAAACCTCAGCTTATGAAGCTTACTGTCTATACAACTGATGTAGCTCTAAAATCATTACCTGTGCCTGGAAAAACAAACAAACAAACAAACAAAAACAACAAAAAACCAAACCCACACAAGCAATTACAGTACATTAAGAATCATTTCAGTTGACAGATCATGACAGAAAGAGCTTGAAATTGTCATATTCAGTTCCTAGTTCATGAGCTGCATACCATGAATAACTAGTTTAAAATACTTAGTAACACCCGTGTAGATGATTTTATTACAGAACTACTAACAGGGTTGAATCACACTTGAGAGCACTGTATTCAAACACTGAATTCTGGCATTTTTCCTACTCTAATGCAACTAAGATGCCATCGACATGCTGTACCCCAATAAGGAAACTAAAACTTCTAGTTCACCTACCTCGAGCAGAAGCAGATTGCAAACTCTTAACAGTTCATCACATCCATGCTCCTATACAGCAGGAAGTCACCACCACTAGCCAAATTAGTACTATTCTGAGAATCATAGTTCTGCATATCCTTCCCTTTTCTCTCCCAGCCTTGCATCTGCTCAGCACAACATTAGCTGTTAGCTACCCTGTCTGATTAAAATGTGGGTATGAAAAAGAAAGGGTAGAATACTTATTAACTGAAACAGTTACCATATTTGCTTGGACAACCTTCACCTGTCCACAGCATTCTTCAGAGAGTCAGAAATGTGGATGTATAAGCCATCCACAATTCAAGCAATTACAGAAAAAAAAAAGGAATTTATATTAAACTTAAATAGATTAAGTCTACAGAGTATAGAGTACATTTGAGATTCCCCAAATTTTGGCTTAGCCATTTTTGAGATTAAGTCAATTTCTACTCCAAGCATTAAATGCATCTGAAAACAACGGCTAATGCATTGCTGTAATTCTAGGAACACATTACAATACTCCATAGAGAGTTTGCTGGCAGAACACAACATCCAATTTCAACCTAATTTATCCAGGGGGAGGGGGGAGGGTAAGAGCACCAGGGAATAGACTTACTTTTCTAGTTGCACCTCAGACAGCTTTAGACTTACTAACACTAAGAAAGCAGGAAATGTACAAAGCCTTACATACATTACCAGAACTGTTTAATGCTCAACAGAAAAAACACTAAAAATTGTCATAAGCCACATTTCCTATGATGTTTATTAAATTCTAGCATGCTGAGCTGTAAAGCAATACACAAGTACTAGAGTCACATAAAATGTTTAAATGGAATCACTTAAGGGTGTGACTTCATGCCTGTGAACACAGAAATAGCTGAAATTGATGGAAAAACAAAAGCTAGCTGATCAGATAATCTAATAAGCATTATGTTACTGTTTAAAAAAACTACAATCATAACCTTAAAACAGACAAATCACTTCTAGATTAAGAGCAGAGTGATAATTCTAATGATACAACTAGTGGTAACAAGGGACAGCTGAAGATAAAAACATACCATGGGATCTAGGCACATCACTGTTCTCTACAAAACACTGGAAATGAAGTCTTAAGACCTTTACTACTGAAAACAATGAGTAGGACTTAACTATGACAGTTTATTGTTATTGATGGAGTGTTCCTCTAGAGATAGCCAAGTGAGGTATCTTTCACAGACCTATTAGGTTTCAGTTCCTTTTAAGAAGGATTTTGAAATTCAGACAAACAGACATTAAAGCAATGATGTCATCACATTTGCATTGCTAGTTGGCAGTTACATCATGTCCACATTCAAGTCATTCAACTATTTACTCAGTTCTTAGGCACATAGTCTTCTGAATGTCCTGCTAAACAACTACTAAAGAACTAACAAAATATACTGCAGAGAAGATGCCTTTCATAACAGCATTAGGGATTCTAATATACAAACATCTACATACAAAATTCTAATATACAAACACTTAATATTCAGTGTTGGACAGTGTAAGATTCTGTTTTCACCAAGGCATTTTAATAATACTTTGGCAGAACAAAGACAGTAATACAGCTACCAAAGTTGGTAAAAATTGTTAGCCTGGCTCAGTAACCTGAAATCTTCCCAGGAGAGCACGTTAGGCTATTACACTGGAATGCTAACATCAGGTATGTCAGTGTCCTCTCCACATAGGTCCAGCTACAAAGAAGCAGAATGCCATTTCTCCAGATCCATTAGCAGGTCATGCTCAAGAAACATAAACTCACCGAATTTTACTTGCATAACAACACTGTGAAGTTCCACTCCTCCTTAGTTTCTCACAACAAAGCCAAGTTCATCTTAGCTTGCACATTTTACAAAAGTAAACAACTAAGGCTTAGTAAACCTGTAATTCAAATACCACTTGCTGAAATGCTCAGAATCATGAGAAAAATCAGAGCAAGCAGCAACTCAACGACAGTAATAGTAGATTTAGCTCAGAGTAGCAGACATATGATAAAATTTGCATGTGTATTTATCACATTAGCAAACTGCAGAGCTCTGCAGAAGAAGAGGAAGCAATTGTTCCCCAGTTGTAGTTAACTTGAAAGCACTTCTGAAAAACAAATAAATTTTTCTTTCTTTTTAAGAGCATCACTTTTTAACAAAAACAGCCAAAGCTAAGCATAATCTTAAAGCACTCTGCAAAAAGGAATTTAACCGTGTAATTTAACTAGTCTCAGCCCAAATAAAAATCTAGTTGTTACTTCAGCCACTGCTGTACCTGCACAATTATTCTTCATTTACTCTACTTCTGGGCACAGGTTACAACCCTCAAACCAGCACTCACCTCAAAAGAACCCTTCACTGTTTCTGAGCACACAAGAACCTTTACTCACTCCCTAAAGGATGAACACTGAGCACTATATGAAAAAGTCAAGATGTTCCCATGCACCCTGTTCACTGCAAGGGAGCAAAGGAGGAAACCATCTATTCCTACCCCTTTCAGATTGAGCTTGTATTGATTTCTGTGAGACTGAATTATGTCAGAGCAACACCTCTGAATTATCAGATTACAGAGCAGTGAATCTGCAATCAGCCTAAGGCTTTCCAGCAAGCAGAGAAAAGCTAAGTTTTATGATCCCAAAACATCAGTCTGACAGCAATATAACAGGGTCTGGAAAGGGTCAGCAGCATTCCAGGAAGATGCTCATTTCTCCCAGCCCCTCCCCTTCAGGCACACATTTCTTCCAGTGGGGTTAAGAGATGGCACAGGATCTCATAATTTTGGTTTTGTCTCTGGGCAACATCCCCCAAGCCCTTTTTAGACCTAGCAAGTCCAGCCCTCCTACCACTGCTCCCACCCTTCTCAGACAATGACCCCCAGGGACTTTACAGCACCTACGAGCAACAGGGGAGTACAGGCAGATCGGTTTGTATCAAGTCCTCATACAGCTTTTTTGTTATGACCCCTCACCACCACCTCGTAAGCTCCAAAACCAAGCCCATTCTTAAGAAGTAGTAAGACGTTTCAGATTTTGTACTTTTTAGAATGAGGATGGTAGAATATCAAAACAGGTTGCTCAGAGAGGTGGTGGATGCTCTACCCCTGGAAACATCCAAGGCCTGGATGTAGTTCTGGGCAACCTGATCTAGTTGAACATGTCCCTGCTCATTGCAGGGGTGTTAGACTAGATGACCTCTGAAGGTCTCTTCCAACCAAAACTGTTCTATGATTCTATTGTAACAGTGTATTATCACCAGAGTTTGCTGTGGATGCATTCTTATCTCAGATGTGACGGTAAAGAACATACTATCTTGACTCTCCAGTCACCTGTTTCTTTCCTCCACAGAAATTACACTTTGATATGAGTGCCTCACTCGCCAACAGGCAAGCTTCCCACTTTTATCCAGTCACTTCCATTGATTTTTTTGAGATAATCTTGTCTGTAGCCAAGTATTAGGAACAAGCTGCATTCTCCTCTTCACAACAGAGACTAGATCCCAAATTCTCACAGCTTTAGAAATCCACTGGAATAGCTGGATTTCTTTGCATTCTTTTACTTACCGCTTTTAAAGCTCCATTAAATTCTGAGATAAGGAATCCTGAGCTAATCACAAGCAAGCCCTGGAACTGAGTGCAGAGTGCTGGTCAGTGAACCACAAACAGTTACAAGG